GGATTGCCACTTGGGAAAAACATGAAACCATTTTCTCCTACCACTCGTGAAATTCAATGCAGAATGAATGAAGGATCTCGAGGTTAGAACAGAATCCATAAAATACATTGAGGGAAACATAGGCAGAACTCTGCAGGAAATGGCTGTCAGGGGTGTCTCCAACAGGCAGATCACAAAAGCAAAGACAACAGAAGCAAAAATAAATGTGACTACATCAAATTTAAAAATATTTTCCTCAGCCGAAAATAAACAGAAACCCTATGGAATGGGAGAAAATATTTGCACGCTGTAAATCAGATAGATGACTAATAACCAAGATTTATGAAGCACTCACAAAGTTGAACCACAACGAGAATCCAACAGCCCCATCAAAAAGTAGAATAGATGAACAGACACTTCCCCCCAAGAAATCATGCAGGTGGCTAGGAGGCATAGGGAAAAAATGGTCATCGTTACTTAATTATTAGGAAAATGCAAATCAAAACAAGGCTATAACCCGTATCAGTGATGATTCCATATATGGAGAAGTCTAGAAGTAATAGGGATTGGTGGGGATGTGGTGAGAAAGGAAACGAGAAGAGAAAGAAAAATTTACTGTTGAAGGGAATGCCCGCTGGTTCGGTCTCTGTGGAGAGCAGCATGGATATTTCTCAGAAAAGTAAGAGTTGGTCTCCCATATGACCCAGCAATACCATTTCTTGGCATCTGCCTCTTCAAAGACGAAAACATTAATTTGAAAGGATATATACACACCTATGATCATTTCAACACTAGTACGATAGCCAAGATATAGAAACAACCCAAATAAATTGAAGGATACTTTGGGACATTGGTGGAGCAATGTAGGCACTTTGGTGATAGGTGTAATATTGGAATGATGGGTATATAAAAGTACCATTTTAATATTATAAATAATAGAATCCCAAGTTAAATTTTTTTCCTAATAAGATATGCTATTGTACAACCAAGGGTCAACCAAAAAGTAAAGAGAGAAATTCTTTTTTTTTTAATTACTTTTTAAAATTTTTATTAGTGAAACACCATGAGGTACAGTTGTAGACTTACAAATTTTTGTGCTTGGGTTTCAGTTATACAATGATCAAGTACCCATCCCTCCACCAGTGCCCATTCTCCACCACCACTGATCCCAGTATCCCTCCCACCCTCCGTTTCCCCATCCCACCCTGCCTCTGTGGCAGGGCATTCCCTTTTGTTCTCTCTCTCCTTTTGGGTGCTGTGGTTTGCAAAAGAGGCTTTGAGTGGCAATCATGTTCAGTCTATATCTATTCTCAGCATGCTTCTCCCATCCTGGGAGGATCCTCCCAACACCCTTTATTTGGTGCTCCCTTCTCTATCTGAGCTGCCTTTTCCCCTAACGTGCACGGCTGGCCTCCAGGCCATGGAGTAAACCTCCTGGTACTTATCTCGGCTACTCTTGGGTGTTAGTCTCCTATTTTGTTACTTTATATTCTCCAGATGAATGCAATCTTTCTATGTCTGTCCCTCTCTTTTTATCAGTCCCTCTGATACTTTCCATGTAGTACCACTTGTATACAAATTTCATGAATTTCATCTTTTCTAACAGCTACATAGTACTCCATTGTGTAGAAGTACCAAAGTTTTTTTAACCAGTCATCTGTTAAAGAGAGAAATTCTTTAAAATATAAATGAATGAATTCAACTAACATGGATCTGTAATGTACCAAAGCTTAAGGGCTACGGCAAAAGCACTTTCAAGAGGTAAGAGTGATACATAGAACATCCTGACTTTAGAACATGCCACGCTTTCTTCACCACGGCAGCTCTGAGGGCGCTGGGTTGAGTTTCCCTCCCCACCCCAGCAGAACCCCGGCATCCGAAAACTTCCAGAACCCAACCACACAGCCATGCTCAAGGCCACTCTCGATAGGGTTGGTTGAGCCTCACCTATGAGGGAACCTGCAGAAAAACCCAGGTATAAGGGACCTGTGACTGCCATCTCCAAGCTCGCTCAAAACAGGACTGGGCCTCCTCCCCCCCCCCCCAGACCCCCAGTTTTCCAGTAGCTTGGCAGTCACACCCACAAACTTTCCCGGCGCCATGTAATCTCATCAACGGCCAAGGTCCAGAGACTATGAGATAGAGCTCCCACGTGAGAGCAACACAGAATGTCCTGGAGTGCACGGCTGCAAGTGCAGCCACACGACCTCTTATAGTCTAGTCCAGTGGTGGACCAAGAGTAGCACTTATTTGTTTGGGTTTCATATACATGCTTGTAGTCTCTTATACAAGGGCTTCAATGGCTCCAGGATGAAATACAACAATCTTCACACACTTTCCTCTTTTGGTGGTGGGAAGGTGCAACAGGATGGTGGGATTCGTGTTTGAATATTATCAGTAATGAACTATTGCGAACAACTTTATAAAGACAAAATTAAATTTAAAAAAGAGTGATCAAGAACCGGGCAATCTCCAGCAATCTAACTTCATACCCAAAAGAACTTGAAGAAGAAGAACAAGTGAAAGTCAAAGTTAGTAGAAGTAAGGGAAAAGCAAAAATTGTTGACATGAAATAAAAAAATATCAATACAATGAAAAAATTATTAAAAACTAAAATTGGCAAATTTTCAGCTGAACACACAAAAACCGAAAGGGAATATTATACAAAATAAGCAACTAAAGAGGAAACATTACAAAAATTAGCAGTACTCCTATATTATTAAAAGAAAAAAGAAGGAAAAAAAAGAGAAAACATTGCAACTTGTATTACAAAAATGCAGAGGACCATGAGAGATTACCATTAAAATCATATATAAATTGAGCAACTGAGAATAAGTAAACAAGTTCTTAGAAATGTACTGTCTTCCAAAATTTAATTATAATTAGAAATTCTAAATAATAGTATAAAGATGTATCAGTGATCATAAAGTTTCCAGCAAGCAAAAATCTTGGACCAGGTGACATCACTGGTAGCACTGTAGCACTGTCCTCCCATTGTTCATCGATTTGCTCAAGCGGGCCCAGTAATGTCTCCATTGTGAGACTTGTTCCTGTGTTTGGCATATCAAATACGTCATGGGTAGCTTGCCAGGCTTTGCCATGTGGGCGAGATACTCTGGGTAGCTTGCCGGGCTCTCCGAGAGGGGCGAAGGAATTGAACCCGGGTCCGCCGAGTGCAAGGCAAACGCCCTATCCGCTATGCTATCGCTCCAGCCCTCATGACATCAAAAAGATTAAAAATACTTAAAATTAAATTGAACGATGGGAGTGATCAATACACATTGATAAGTGTAAGATATTCATGAAAGAAGTCACAATCCAGTGGAGAGATGGTGTATGCTCACAGAAGAAACAGTATTGCTAACTGCCTCTACTATCCAGGTTCGAGTCTGTACTACCATAGATTTGGTGTGCTCTCCTGTCAAAATCCCAATGGCAGTTTTCCATAGAAGTAGAACGGATAATGTGAATACCTATATGGTATCACAAAGACCCCGACTAACTGAAGCAATCTTGAGAAAGAACAAAACGGAGGCATCATGGTTCCCTAGTTCAAGCTAGCCTACAGAGTATGGCAATCAACTATGGTTTGAGCATAAAAACAGACTAACATCAGTCTAACATCAAAAAACCCAGAAACAAACCATTGTGTATATTGTCAATTTCCGTAAAGAAGGTGAGAATATACCAAGAGGACACAACAGTCTCTGCATAAACTGTAATGGGAAAACCGAATAGTCACATGCAAGAGAATGAAAGTTACCCACCACATTCTGCCATACACAAAAGTTAACTTGAGGGGCTGGAGCGATCGTGTGGTAGGAAAGGCATTTGCCTTGGCACAGCTGACCCTGGTTCAATCCCCAGCACCCCATGTGGTCCCCTGAACCCTGTCAGGAGTGACTCCTGAGTGCAGAGCCAGGGGGAAGCCCTGAGCACTGCCGGGTGTGGCCTCCACAAACAAAACAACAAAATACAGTTACTCGCTAAGCAAACAGTTTCACTTTTTGGTGTTTACCGAGAAGAGAGTAAATATTTGTTTTGACAGCCGTATGCAGCCTTGCTCTCAGGGGCTCTGCCAGCTCATTGCTCTGACCGTCGGTCCCCGTGTTGCCACGGGGAGTGACAGGGATCCCGTCCAGGGCCCCAGCGTGCAAAGGATGTGTCCAGCCCTTTGAGAGATCTCTTTGCCCTAAGAACTCAATTTGGTTCATGTTTAAAGCATGGATGCCCGGGTTCTTTGCCTCCTGATAGATATTAACCAAGGTTACAGCAACACTTAAGTAAAAAAGAGCTGGTGTGTGTGTGTGTGTGTGTGTGTGTGTGTGTGTGTGTGTGTGTGTGTGTTTGGGCACCATATCCAGTAGGGCTCAAGGCTTACTCCTGGCTCTGTGCTGACGTGTCGTTCCTCTTGGTGCTCGGGGGACCATATGTAGAAGCAGGGTTGGCTCTGCAAGGTGAGGGAGAGTGTCTTAATCTCTGTACGCTCTCTCCGACCTCTGTTCTTGTTGATACAGATCGTGCCCAAATGAAACAAAGGATTGTGCATAATTGATCAGAGTCTGAAGGAAGTTTGCATCTTGTTTTCTCACTCAAGTCGTTTCATAATAAACATTTGATTCTTCAGCAGCCCCCTTCCTCCCTAGCCTGGATGTTGAGGAATCAGGTGTTGAGTCTGTGCCTCCCACCCGAGAATCATGTTCTCCAGCCTGCAGAGAACGCCTCTGTCTGCCCCAAATCTCTGGTTCCTGTGGCTAATTTCTGACTTAAATAATACAGGAGTGGCTCGTGTCCTTTTGTGTAAATTAATTCCTGAAACAGTCGTAGGTTTTAGCACAGACAAAGAACCACTAATAAGGAAGTATTACAGTAGTTTGATATTTAAGATAAATTAATAGTGTGTTCTTTGTTTCAAGTTATGCAACAGATCGGACACACAGAGCAAGAGTGAAGTGCGTTTGGCACGCACTTGCTTTATTTTCTGCTTTGCAAAAGTAATTTTCTTCTCCTTTTAATGCTAGGAAACAGACATTGATGACCGATATGGGGATTTGGATTCCAGAACAGACTCTGATATTCCAGAAATCCCACCCTCCGCGGATAGAACGCCGGAGATCCTCAAGAAGGCTCTGTCTGGCTTATCTTCAAGGTACGTTTGGACGAAGGTGAATATAGATGGTCGCAGAGATAAGCTGGGATGAAAGCCTTTCCCACCCATGTAGGGACCATTTAACTTGTGTAAGTTTCGGAGCTGTGAAAGAAGAGACATGCTTTTTGTTGCTGTTTTGCGTTGGCATGAAGCTAAGGGTTTGAGGTACGTTCGTCTAAGACTCTAAATCTCTGACGTCTGAGAAAACCGAGTCTGCGAGGTTAACTAGTAAAGGTTCCAGAGCTAGTTAAGATGCATACTTGGGATTCCCTCCCCAGGCTGTCAGATGGCTGAAGCCAGTCATCCATTCCCCGCTCCATTGCCTTTTCTGATATCAGAACATCTAATAAAGAAAATGCCGTGGTCGCTGATCCCTATTATTCAAATGCCAGGCAGAAATAGGTAACTTTTCTTTTGATGCCATTTTTGTGCAAGGCCTCCTTGCCCAAGGCCTCACGACCCTTTTCCATTTCATGTTTGCTATACTTCGGAATACTTAGTCACTGAATTTCAGCTAATTTTACCTTCTCCTCCGTGGTATGCTTTCACAACATAAATCACGGAATTTATACTAGCGGCCCAACTCTCCCGAATCTTGACTGAATTTCTGAAAAGACACTTCTTGCCAAGGCGCTGAAATTCACAGACGCACCAGTCTGCCTGGCTGAAAACTCTGGGGGGATGTCCTTGGGCTGCCCTTGGGAGGGTCACTGGCCTGGTCCCACATCCAGACCCCACCACTAAGGCCATGCTAAAGGCTCACCTTCTCCGCTTTATTCATACTCCCCACAGAGACACCGAACTATGAAAAATTTCAGGTGCCCAGGCTGATAACTCAGGGGTCTTCTCAGAGTGGGGGCAGGCAGCCTGCCCTCATCCCCGAACTTCTAGAAGCCCTGGAAGCCCCCCCTCCTGCAGACACCTCCATGTCCACTCCCTGGCCCAGCCCACGAGTCCTGAAGTCTCTGGACAGCTCCTAGTTGGTCAATCCTGACATCCCAGCAGGAGCACGCCAGGTCGGATGGGAAAGGAACAGGAGGCCAGCTCAAGCCAGCATACGAGGAGAATGAAATAGAGGGTGCAGTTATCAGCAGAGCTTGGTAAATACTTAGATAAGGGCTTAACAAACCCGCAGTGAAATAGAACAATTTTCACATTAAAAGAATAGATTTTAACTTAATCAGTTTTGATATTGGAGCTTTGCTATCTATCTAAGCCCAGCTCTAGAATTTTGTCAACAGTTGTGGCTTTTGTCAACATTTAAAAAAATCAACTATAGACCAAACATGATTGCCACTCAGTGCCTCTTTTGCAAACCACAACACCCAAAAGGAGAGAGAGAACAAAAGGGAATGCCCTGCCACAGAGGCAGTGTGGGATGGGGGGTGTGGGGGGGATGGGGGGGAGGGAGGGATACTGGGATCCATGGCGGTGGAAAATGGGCACTGGTGGAGGGATAGGTATTTGATCATTGCATAATTGAAACCCAAGCACAAAAATTTGTAAGTCTACAACTGTACCTCATGGTGTTTCACTAATAAAATTTTTTTAAAAAATCAAGTACAAAAAAAAAATCAAGTAAACAAAAAATTCCAGTAGCAAAATAAATGTAAAATTTTATGCAGTTTTGTATGTGTAGCTATAAATATTGGTATAATGTAGTATTTATCCCACTTCCATGACTGACAGGAGTTATTTTGCACTGCATTTCATAGACAAATGTATATTTTAAGTACTACAAAAATTTTAGGAAGCAGTTCTTTCCATTTCTACTTGTGACACCCTGTGATTTCATTTTTTCTTTGATACTTATAAATATAAATTGGTGTGACTTACTAAATTTTTACTACACATTTATTTTATTATACTACCAGCCTGAAGCCTGAGAGATACTTCTTTAGATTAGGAAATGGACACTAAGGGTTTCCGATGTTTAATTTAGATTACCATATTTAATATAGATAGATTCAAAGCAAAGTTTTCATAATTCTTACCATCATCATCATCATCATCATCCTGTTAATCGTCGATTGCCTCGAGCAGGCCCCAGTAACGTCTCTTTCATCCTAGCCCTGAGATTATATTCACGGCTCTTTAGGAGAATGAGACCCATCATTGTTACTGGTATTTGGCATATTTGGTAGGCCACGGGGAGTTTGCCAGACTCTGCCCTGTGGGCAGGATACATTCGATAGCCTGCAAGTTTGTCCAAAGTAGGAATGAGATAATGAGATGTCATAATAAGATGTCGCGCGTTTCCGGGAGCTGGTTTTTATAGTCTCTGAGCCTTGGCCGCTGATGGAATTACACGGCGCCAGGGGGCCAGTTGGTGGGTGTGACCCCCGCCTACTGGAATTTGGAGGATCTGGGTGGAAGATGCTCGACTCCAAATCTTACCAACTATAACAATTTTTTGCTGCACCCCAATCCTGTGAAGCATCTCCCCAGCCCCTTGTTCTAAACTTTTCATAATTAAAAACAAGTCTGCATTGAACATTTTTCTTTGTAGCTTACATTTCTCATTTACAATTCCTTAGGGTCCAGTTTTAAAAATGAAATTGCTTAGTCAAGGATTATGTTCACTTTTAAAACTTTTAATATAGAATGCAGAGGTACATGCCCTGATGAAGCCAGCAGAGGCCCGAAAGGGCATTAGTTTCCTGGCAGATTGTCCCAGTCTTCTTTCTACCTGACCCGTGAGAGGGTGTCTGGGAATTAAACTCCAGCAGTCAGGTCCGTCCACCCCTTAACTGCTCTCTTCACTGGACACCCTATCCTCTGCCTGCCCCCAGGGGAATTTGGCTGTGTCAGGAGACATAGCTGGTCCTGTGATGCACAGTCCTCAGAAGGGCTGTCTGCCCAGGTGTGCCTTGACACTGCCAGGCACGGGGTCACGGCTGTCCCCAGCCTCTGCTGCACCATCTTCTTTCTCTTGCTCACTTCCTCCAAAGCCTAGGGGTCTTCTTCAGACCTCCTGCTCAGTACCAGGGGCCCACCAAGTTCCTATGTATTTGTTTTGTCACGTCTAATTAAATAATTATTTCCTTTTGGGTCACACCCAGCGATGCTCAGGGGTCACTCCTGGCTCCGCACTCAGGAATTACTCCTGGACCATATGGGATGCCGGGGATCGAACCCGGGTCGGCCACATGCAAGGCAAATGCCCTACCTGCTGTGCTATCGCTCTGGCTCTCTTAATTTATATTTAATGGGACTCTGGTTTGCAGGAGTGTGTTGGGATGGGGTATAGTTACCACATCTGCCACCAGAGTGATTATTCCTCTACCCCCCACACTTTTTTTTTCTTTTTGGGTCTCACCCAGCGATACACAGGGGTTCCTCCTGGCTCTGCACTCAGGAATTACTCCTGGCGGTGCTCAGGGGACCATATGGGATGCTGGGAATCGAACCCAGGTTGGCTGCGTGCAAGACAAACGCCCTACCGGCTGTGCTATCGCTCCAGCCTCTACCTCCCACTTCTGAGGCGCACCTCTGCGTTCTAATTCTTTGCCCAGGTGAACTGCCCTAGAAACAGGAAAAAAAAGGGTCTGTTTGTTTGTAAGTCTTACTATTTTAGAATAAGGATCTTAGTAAGTGTGTAGCCACTTTAGATTCTCTCTGGGTTTTGTGCTGATGGGACAGGGTTAGAATGAGGAGACTGTCTTTGGGTACTTTATTGCTTTCCGACTAACCCTGTGACCTAATCCACGTGTTAATTTCTAAGGATCTGTGAAGTCAAGTGAAACCATTCAGGTGTAGCATTTTTTGCCTTCTTTGCGGTTTAGTTTTGTTTTAGTTTAGCCTCAAAGGTTATAGTTTTTAACAGTGTATAATCTTGGAATTTGTGAAGCAGTAGAAAAAAAATTGAAGTTCAGCAAGTACAGTCTCACTACCGTGCGGAGAACCACAGAGGCTGGGTAGAGTTTGGACTCCGTGTTGGTGTTTTAGATCTTAAGCATACGACATGCTTAAGGGAATATTTGAGACTTACAGGTAAGGGGACCTTCTGAGAAAGTGTAGTTTGTCAGTGTCTGGACTCGAGAGGGTAGTGGTTGACAACGGGCTGCTGCAAGCAGCATCATTCACAAATGCACGGAATCTGCTGCTGCCTTGGTTCAAGGGAGGGTTGGGAGGGTTAGAGTTCCATGTTGCAACGCTCCAGCACCACGGTGAAGTGCTGGCGTTTGGACTGAAATCAGAAAGGGCTTAGCGGGACAGCTTCCCTCTGCCTCTTAAGGCAAATGGGCGTAGAATGAATGAAAGAGGATTGCAGTTCCTAAATCGTCCCCCACTTGCAGCTGCTGTGAGAGCCCGATCCTCTGTGTGGCGGCTGCTACATCTTTTGCGTCACAGCTTCCTCCGATGATGCTTCATGGGTATGGGACCGATGGGGGAGGCTCCTGCTTGGGCCCCCCAGGTCTGAGGCACCAGGAGCCAGCGGGGAGCACGGCAGGGGAGTCAGCCCAGAATCGAGCCAAGGCCCAGGATGAGAAGCGCCTTTCGTCCTGAAGCCCCTGTGTGTCTCACGGGGGAAAGCAGACCCCGGACTCGATACCTACAAGGACTTTCTCCGTCCTGACCCTGCCCTGCAGCCTGCCCCCATGCTCCCCACAACCCCTCACCCCTTCACTTCACTGCACTCGCTGTGCTCCAGTTGGCACTGCATTTTCCTTTGAAGGCACTTTCTCCCCAGTAGCCCGTGCTGCCTGTTTCACTCTGAAAACACCGCTGCCTTCCTCCTGAAGCACCAGTTACACGTCAGCCTCTGTTTCTCTTGGCTCAGCCAGGGGCCACCGCGGTTCCGGCCCCCAGTGTGTCCAGTGCTGGGATCTAAGTCGGGGCCTCCAGCCCTCTGGGCTGGCTCCCCACGCCCCTGACCATCACCCTGTCACAGGCCTTTGTAGCTGGCTCTGCCTCTTCTCAACGTGCGCTCCATAAAGTGCAGACATCCTCTCCGACCTCACCCCAGGAAATCGGCGCTTTGTTGGGCATGAACACAAATTTTAGATTTAAGCTAGCACTCAGGGAAGGAGTGCTGGATGAGGGTCGGTCGGACTCTGTTCTTGTTCCTAGAGAAACTGCAGTGGGGGATGAGCTCGGGCGGATTTCATCTCAGAACCAAAGCCACATGTCCAAGCCAAAGAACACGTTATGAAATGCTGACTCTCCACTCGTTTCCTTTGCAGGTGGAAAAACTGGTGGATTCGTGGAATTCTTACCCTGACTATGATTTCATTGTTTTTCCTGATCATCTACATGGGATCTTTTATGCTGATGCTGCTTGTAAGTGTTTTACATTTTTGTAGGCATTGCCCTCTTTATCTTTCAGCATCTATGGGTTTCAAATCAGTTGAGCGTGTCATACAAAGGAAGATTGTCTGGGCCAGGGCAATGACTCAGAGGTCACGGGTGTTTGCCGTGGATGACAGACCCAAGGACAAAGTCCTTTACACCACAAGTACCTCCGCAAAGCATCCTTGGGGACCGCCTTAGAGATCTCCAGCTGAGCCCAAGGAGCACCTTGGAGCCAGGCTTGGCCCTGAAGTGTACATCCGTCCCGGCGGCCTGAGTATGTCAGGAGTGACCCCTAGACCCTGAGACTTGCTTCAGGGACCTGCTCCCCACCCACCCCGCAGCCCTCCCCCAAGTCTAGCTTTCTGGGTTGGTTGACTGGAAGGAGGAAGGCATTCCACGGTGGGGAGATCACGGGGAGGACTCGGGGGTAGAGCTGGAATGGGATTCTTGGGGCGGATTTGCCAGTTGTCCAGGGACAAGGGCGTTAGCTCGAGGCATGCGGAAGCCATCCCAGGAACTGGATGTTGCGTTGCTTATGAGATGGCGATCATGCCAAGTGAGAGTTGCACACTCCCGATTTGTTCACTTAGGACATGCTGCCCGGGGCTGCTGTGTGCCAGGTGTTGTGCCAGACTGGGGAGAACTCGGTTCCTGGAAGAGGCTCCTGTGTGCCCCCGTGACAATTCCCATCCCTTGTCTCCCTTGTCTCGTTCCTTTTCGAAGCGGGTGCGCCCCACCCAGCTCGCCTGTCTTCCTCCCGCCGCACTCCATCCCGACCCCCCGCGACCCGCTTCGCGCCGTAGGGTATGGCTTTCCTGTGCTCTTAGGAAAGGGACATGTTTAGAAGCGAGATTAGATGTGATTGAGAAACGGTTCTTCAGTTTCGCGTTCCTCCGTTCCTCACTTACAGCGGCAGCTCATCAAAGCCCTTCCACGTTTCTTTCCGTCCGTTAATTTTATCCTTCCTCGGGGGATGCCGTGGTAATGAACAGGAGTTAGAAACTGCTTTCTCCGCTCTGCTAATTTGCTGACACCCTGCAGAGCTTTTTCTTGGGAACGGAAAACCGATCGTGGAATAGAACCCGCGGACTGGGAAAGGCAGGGAGGCAGGTGACCCCAGGGAAGGTCCCCAACACCCAGGCTCTCGGGGTTTGTAACGGGTGTTGGGTGCTCAGGGAGCTGCGTGCTGGAGGCGGAGATAGGAAGAACGACCCCCTGAGGGCAGGCACCAGGGCTCTGGGGGTGAGGGAACCTTTCCAGAGACACCCCCGCCACCACCGCCCCCCTCACCCCGAGAATCTCTGTGAGATGGTCCAGGTGGCCACAAGTCTCAGGAAAGGGCTGGCCGTCATCTTTCCAGAAATGTGGCCGGGGACCCGAGGGCCAGAGGAGGCCTTTGGGGCTCCTGTGCGAGAAAGTTCAGCCCTGAAGATCCCAGGACTCACTTGAACTACTGTTTATCTTCAGAAGGGCCACTTTGCTCTGACATGATGTCGGCACCAGGACCCACACTGCGGGCATCCGGGGCCCTGTACCCTGCACACTCAGGCGCTGTTTTCCCAGAGTCAGACCCGCACTCTGGGGCACTACATGCTCAGGCACTGTGTTCCCGGCGTCGGACCCACATTCTGGGACACTGCATACTCAGAGGCTGCGTTCTTGGGCGTCAGACCCACACACCCCACGCTCAGGGGCCGAGTTCCCAGGCGGGCATCAGACCCTCACATCAGCGTGCCATCAGGCCCACATACCCGGGCACTGCACACTCAGGTTCTGGTGTTCCCTGGCACAGGCGCACACTGTACTCCCACGGTACCGCCTCCCGTGCTGGCCAGGCCAGGTCTTTTGAACAGAGACTTTAAAAAAAAATTTTTTTTTTTCCAAATTGAATCACGGTGAGATAGACAGTTACAAAGTTGTTCCTGATTGGGCTTCAAGTTATACATTGTTGCAACCGCCTTCCTGGTCACCAGCCTCCGTTTCCCACCACCAAGGTCACCAGTTTCCTGCACTTGACTATGAAATAATTCAGAACAGTCTGGGGGAAAGGAATCTATCCAGGTCTTCACATGTGCAGGCAAATACTCTCCCTCGAGCTGCTTCCCAGATCCACTCTGAAATAATTGTTATGATTTTATTTTGTGGGGGTGGGGGCAGTCCTCAGCGCTCAGAGCTCACTCCTGGGTGCGGGGTGGGGGGTGGGGGGGAGTGAGGCACCCAGAAGTGCTAGAGCTTAGATCCTGCGTCCAAGGTCACGGATCTCTCCTAGTGGGCCCGGGGGACCAGAGGTGGTGGGAATTGAACCGAGGTTGGCCAAATGCAAGGCACATCCAGTCCCCCCAAAACTCTTTTACAGATGTTGTTGCGTATTTGATTTCTTATCTTCTTACTTTGGGGTTTGGAACCACACCTGGCTCTGCTCAGGGCATACTCCTGGCTCTGTGCTCAAGGAGGACCCTTGGTGGTGCTCAGGGGACCACAGGTCGTGTTGAGGGTCCGCCCCGGGTTAGCCCGTGCCCTACCCACCGTTCTTTCTCTCTGGCCTGCTTCCTGATTTTACTTTCCTTTTTGATTTTGGGGGCCACCCCTGCCAGTGCTCGCGGCGTACTCCTGGCTCTGCTCTGGGTTCCAGTGTGGGGTGGTGCTCCCAGCCTGCTTCCTCTGCCCCTGCAGGAACAGAGCCCCGGCTTGTCTCCCCGAGTCCTCAGTGGCCAGCAGGTTACAGGCGTAGGTCCCGGGCGGGGGCAGCTCTGAGCTCTGCGCTTGGAGGATTGCACAGTGGCAGGGATCTGTGCCTGGGCCCAGCCACTGAGCCATCTCTCTGGCCCTCTGGGGCCGTACCTAGCCCTACTCAGGGCTTACTCCTGGCTCGGTGCTCACTCCTGGTGGGGTTTCAGGGACTGTGTGCAGGACTAGGGATTGAACCCAGTTTAGCCACATGCAAGGCAAAACCCCCGCACTATCTAACTGTGCCCCCCCCCTCGGTACTTTTTAAGGCTCCTACAATCGGGCCAGCAGATCCTCCTTCTCAAGATGTGTTCTGATGGTGTGGAGTGTTCTCTCCTGCTCTCTTTCGATCCTGTCTATTTTAAGGATTTTAAGTTAATGTTTCGAATTCCATTTTCTATTTATCCAGAAGTTCCATATTTATCTACTTGCAAACTCTAATGGACAGTCATAAAATGTACGATGCTATTAAAAACTCCTTATTTTCTCCTCTTAGTCAAATGACATTACAGCGTCAATGGTTGCTCTTGAGTAAATGTGTTTACAAAAATTGCTTCAGTGCACTGATATTTTTATTTTTTATTTATTTTTTACTTTGAATACACATAGATATTTTTAAAGCCCTTGACTTTATAAATAACTTGGGCTTGTTATTTTACGTGCTAATATTTTTTTATTTTTAATTTTTTTTGCTTTGGGGGCCACATCTGACGCTACTTAGGGGACCTTACGGGATGCCCGGGATGGAACCTAGGTTGGTACCTTCTGGCCCCAGTCATTTAACATCTAAGCGTTGTCCTCATTCCGGGAATTTTTGTTGTTGTTCAAAATGACATGATATTATGTAAAAAAAAAATTATAGAACACACTTCTGACTTTTTAAAAAAGAAATACTGGTAATTTGGCATAGTATTTTCTCATCATGTGACTAAAAGTACGTGGTTACTTAAAACTCTTTTATTATGTTGGACACATAATAGGTAGAGTAGGGGAAGATAGCTTAAGAAAATCCTGAGCAGTGGCATTTGGGAAAGTTAATTTTGGGAAACTTAAAAAGAAATCTGGGGGTGGGGCCAGAGTGATAGTCCAGCGGGTAGTGCTGCGTTTGCCTTGCACATGGCCGAACCGGGTTTGATTCCCAGCATCCCATATGGTCCCCCAAGCCCCGCCAGGAGTGATTCCTGAGTGCAGAGCCAGGAGGAACCCCTGAGTACTGCCAGGTGTGACCACCCCCCCCAAAAATAAATCTCAGAGCTGGGGAGGTAACTTGGGGGTAGGGGCTGGACACGTATGGGAGGTGCCGGCAGGGCTCCCCTGTGTCAGGTTCTGAGAACCGCTGGGGCCTCTAGAAGTGACCTCAGTGAAGTACCAGGAGTAGCCCCAGGCCACCACTGGGCAGGACTCCAAAAAGCCAAAAAAAAAAAAAAAGAACAAAACTAAAAATGAAATCCCAAAGTATATCCTCAGGCAGTTTGGCAAGCTGTTTTCTAAACGTATAAGTAGTGGTTTCGGTTTTCCCAATCCCACTCCCTGATTTTCAGTTTCTGTTCTTAACTCTTTCAAAAAAAAAAAAATATATATATATATACACACACATATATTTCACTCCAGGCTATATGGAAACAAGCCCTTGGACATACAGGTTCTCAAGGTTAAAGCAGTTAGTTTGCTGAGTTTGCCAGCGTTTTCCATTTCTTAGTTATAATACAGGTTCATTTGTCATGAGGCTGCATCTTCAGGAATTGCCTATCCCGGTATTGATAGACAGTGCCGGTCGCAGGCCATCAAATAGACCATCAGATACGGATTTGTGGTGATATACCCTCTTAATCCGCACGCTTACAGGACCCCAGGCTAACAGCGGCATAGACCCAGGTTGCCAAAGTGGATGTATATGCAGTAGGTCCTGGCTGATCCGCTGAGGTCGCGTGATGTGGATTAATTAGAGATACGTGAGGCTGGAGAGGGGAGTCTGTCAGTTGGGACAATGCAGGATCCCGGCAAGTCATTTGTCCTGGGGCTGGAGCTAATTATAGGGCGGGCAGGGTGCTGTCCTGGCAGGATTTTAATCCCTTGCAAGGATGGAATACATGAATTATTAACAGAGTATATGGTTAAGAACAAACTTGTATAAGCGTTTATGTATGATCATTTCTCTACCCCCAAGAAACAAAAGCACCCCCAAAACCCCACAGAGCAGTAATGGGAGATAAAATATGATAGTCAGCTGTGACCAAAGTTTATTTATTTAGTTTGGTTCAGGGGGCACACTGAGCAATGCTCAGAGCTTCGTCTTGGCTCTGCACTCAGGGTTTTCCCCTGGCAGGGCTTGGGAACCATCTGGGATACAGGGGATTGAACCCGGGCCAGCTCTGTGCAAGGCAAGTGCCCTACCCATGTACATTCACTCCTGCCTTGCGACCAAAGTTTAATTGCTCGTGCCACTTACACTTGAAACGCCAGTCTCATTTCCTCGCCCAGAGATGGCATTCTCGACCTTCTTGAGTGAAATACTCCTTTGTCTACTTCTGGGACACCACTTGGTTTTAGCGATATTGAATACTGATACTCTTGCTACTGGCATTTAAAAATCAGTAACAACGGGAGAGCCGAAGAGCCCTTAAGTGCTTAGGACAGTAAGCTGCTTAAAGGCGCCGTCCTGGATTCCGAGTAATGCATGTTCCTGGCTTTTTGTTGTTTCAGGTCTTGGGCATCCAAGTGAAATGCTTCCATGAAATCATCACGATAGGCTACCGAGTCTATCGTTCTTACGATCTGCCCTGGTTCAGAACACTGAGCTGGTAAGTAGCTTAAAGCGTCACACATGAAAACCCAGTTCTTCTCTGAAGTTTCCCCAGGAGCGTCCTGATCAGTCAGAATCCGAATAGGTCTTGTCGTCGGTTGACTTCGGAGAAATACAAGTAAAGACAGCGTGTCTGACTTTTGAAAAGGAGGCCGTTCTTGCCCGCCCCACTGTGCCTCCAGACAGAACCCAGAGGGTATTGTGGAGACTTTCTTTATTCTCTGTATCAGCTTCATGTTTGTTTGTTTCTTTGTTTGTTCCTGAGGCACACCCGGCTATGCTCAGGGCTTACTCCTGGCTCTGCACTCAGGGGTCACTCCTGTTGGGCTTGGGAGGCCATATGGGGTCCCAAGGATCGAAGCCGAGTTGGCCAAGTGCAAGGCCTTTCCCGCTGTGCTTTCTTCCTGAACTTCCTGTACTGTCTCTCTGGCCCCTTGATTAGCTTCTTCAAGGACAGAGCCGGCCTTAAAGGACACAGGGAAGAGTGACCGTCACTGTTTTAAAAAAACAGAAATCCAGGGGCCGGAAGACAGTGCGGGGGTAGGACACACACCTTGCACGCAGCCAACCCTGGTCTTATCCCTGGTACCACATGGTCTCCCCATATCCTTGGTGAAGGCCCTGAGCAGTGCCAGGTGTTCTGGGTGGTCCCCAGCACTCCAGCCGCGGGCCCTTCCATTGAGCCCCGAGCTTGCTTGGCTGAGAACCCCCAGTAGGTGCCCCCAGGCATCCTGGGTACCGCTTGATAGGCCCCATTACCCCGGTAATTCAGTGTCCAACATTGTATGCACACTTAACACTTTGTAATTCAAATTCTGTTTGGGGGCCCCCTGGGACAGTGTTCAGGAACTACCCATCTCTGCTAAGGGGACCATTCTGTGTGGCATCTGGAACCCAGGCCTCCTGCATGCGAAGCGAGTGAGCTCCCCATTCCTGTCATTAGAGTTCTTTAAAAAGGGTTAATTTTGTCAAATGTTGCGTATGTGTTTGATCTTCTGTTTTGATCTCAGTTGATGTTAGGCCACACTCAAAATTAGATGTCTTTACAGCCTCTGTGTGTGTGTGTGTGTGTGTGTGAGAGAGAGAGAGAGAGAGAGAGAGAGAGAGAGAGAGAGAGAAAGGGGGGGGGGGAACCCTCTATGCTCAGGCGACCACCTGGGGCCTGGGATTCAGACCAGGACCAGCAGGATGCAAAAATGCACCTAGTTAAGTAGTAAAAGTAACTGCTAGGGACATTTTGGGGGGTAACATTTAAATTATTATTTTTTCTTTTTGGGTCACACCCAGCGATGCACAGGGGTTACTCTTGGCTCTGCACTCAGGAGTTACTCCTGGCGGTGCTCAGGGGCCCATATGGGATGCTGGGAATCGAACCCGGGTTAGCCGCGTGCAAGGCAAATGCCCTCCTCGCTGTGCTATCTCTCCAGCCCCCTAAATTATTATTATTTTTAAATCTTTAATTGAATCACTGTGAGATATACAGGTACAAAGTAGACCGTGCTTAGGGTTCAGTCATATGATGTTCCAACACCCATTCCTTCACCAGTGTCTATTTTCCACCAGCCGATGTCCCCAGTCCCACTAATGTCCCTGGTGGAATACCCCTCCCACATAGCCCCCCCCCCTCCCAATCCATTCTCTTATTTCCCTTTTTGGCTCTGTGCTTTGTAATGCTGTGACTGAAAGGTTGTCCTCTATGTCATTTTACCTCCTTTCAGCGCCCAGTTCTTATCCAAAGTGATCATTTCCAACTCTCATTGTCATCACGGACCCTTCTCTGTCTTAACCTCACCTCGACCATTTGTGGCCAGCTGCCTACCATGGACAGGTCCTCCTGGCTCTGGTCTCTACTATCTTTGGATATTCACATGCTGGTGATTTTTTTTTTTTTTTTTTTTTTTTTTTGCTTTTTGGGTCACACCCGGCGATGCACAGGGGTTACTCCTGGTTCATGCGCTCAGGAATTACTCCTGGCAGTGCTCGGGGGACCATATGGGATGCTGGGAATCGAACCTGGGTTGGCCATGGATAAGGCAAACGCCCGACCCACTGTGCTATTGCTCCAGCCCCATGCTGGTGATTTTTATTCTGCTGTCAGTTCCCACTGACGTAGCCCATGGGAGCAGAGTTGAGTTCTGCTTTCTCTGTCAGTGTTCCTTGGCGGGGAGGGGGTGGAATTTGACTTAGAGAGGACTAGAGAATTAGTACAGGGCTTGTGGTACTTGCCGTGCACGCCACTGACCCTGGTTTGAATCTCTGTCACCCCTAGAGTCCCCAACACCGCCACGTCACTCCCAAGCACCACTGGATATGGCCTGCCACCACCCCCAAAATAACAGAGAGCTTGTAATTCGAAACGGAATGCTAGGTGCGAGAGACAAGACAGACAAATGCACATTGAAAGTGCATTCTTGTGTAGTACTTTGTTGTTTCTTCGTTATGTGTCTGAGCAAACTAAAGCCATTTTCAGTAAACATGTGGTCAACGGAAAAACATGAAGTTTAAAATGGAAAGGTACTAGAATCTGGAAAAAACCCAAGTGCCCGAGAACAGACGACTGGTTAAAGAAACTTTGGTACTTCTACACAATGGAGTACTATGTAGCTGTTAGAAAAGATGAAGTCATGAAATTTACACACAAGTGGTACTACATGGAAAGTATCATGCTAAGCGAAGTGAGTCAGAAAGAGAGGGATAGACATAGAAAGATTGCATTCATCGGGGGAACATAAAGTAACAAAATAGGAGACTAACACCCAAGTCTGGCCAAGATTAGTACCAGGAGGTTTGCTCCATGATTTGGAGGCCAGCCACACATGCTAGGGGAAAAGGCAGCTCAGATAGAGAAGGGAGCACCAATCAAGGGTGTTGGGAGGATCCTCCCAGGATGGGAGAAGCATGCTGAGAGTAGACTATAGACTGAACATGATTGCCACTCAATGCTTCTTTTGAAAACCACAGCACCCAAAAGGAGAGAGAGAGAACAAAAGGGAATCCCCTGCCACAGAGGCAGGGTGGGATGGGGGGGATGGGAGGTGTGAGGGATACTGGCATCAGTGGTGGTGGAGAATGGGCACTGATGGAGGAAGGATGGGTACTCGATCATTGTATAACTGAAACCCAAGCACAAACATTTGTAACTGTACAACTGTACCTCATGGTGTTTCACTAATAAAAATTTTAAAAAAATGGCAAGGTACTACTGTGTATCAAGGTACTAAGTGTATCTTTAGTTGGTCTTCTGAACTTGGGTTTCTTTTTTTTTTTTTAATTTTCATCATCAAATTGTACAGAAGACTTTTGTTGTTTGTGCAGAGAAAGTGCTTCAAATACTAAGGAGCTGATTCTTTTTAAATTGTAGGTACTTTCTCCTGTGTGTCAACTACTTTTTCTATGGTGAGACTGTAGCTGATTATTTTGCTACCTTTGTCCAAAGAGAAGAGCAACTTCAGTTTCTCATTCGCTACCACAGGTTCATATCATTTGCCCTCTATCTGGCAGGTAAGTTAAGGAAAGTGTGCTGCTTTGAAACATATTTAAAGAAATATTTGGGCGAAGGGCTTGGAGTGATAGCACAACGGGTAGGGCATTTGCCTTGCATGCGGCTGACCGGGGTTCGATTCCCAGCATCCCATATGGTTCCCTGAGCACTGCCAGAAATGATTCCTGAGTGCAGAGCCAGGAGTGACCCCTGAGCATCGCCAGGCGTAACCCAAAAAAGCAAAAACAAATAAACAATGTATATATATATGTATATATATATATTTGGGGAGGGTCTAAATTCCAATATTATGAAGTTATGAATATATTTGCCAATATTGTAAAATTATAAATATATTTGGGGGAGGGGCTGTCCCAATGTTCAGGCAGGTAGGTCCTGGGAGCCAGCAAAGCCACACTCTGTGGTCGGGGGCATGCGTGTTGGAAATTGAACTCAGTGCCAAAAATGAAATTTTGAACCGTGTCCTGGACCCTGGGGCTAATATATTTTATTTTCATGTTACTTAGTTCAGGCCCTCCCGTTGATCTTCGATTTGCTCGAGCGGGCCCAGTAACGTCTCCATTGGAGACTTTGTTGTTACTGTGTCTGGCATATGGAATACTCTCGGTAGCTTGCCGGGCTCTCTGAGAGGGGCGGAGGAATCGAATTCGGGGCTGGAGCGATAGCACAGCGGGTAGGGCGTTCGCCTTACAAGCGGCCAACATGGCCGACCCGAGTTCGATTCCTCCGCCCCTCTCGGAGAGCCCGGCAAGCTACCGAGAGTATTCGATATGCCAGACACAGTAACAACAAAGTCTCCAATGGAGACGTTACTGGGCCCGCTCGAGCAAATCGACGATCAACGGGAGGGCCTTTACCTTTACCTTTACCTTAGTTTATAACATCCTACTGCTGTTTGTTTTCCAGCTTCAAGGTGTGGTCAAGCATGAGGTTACTTTGTTTCATCATAGTCTTAAATAGCAACTATTCCTTCCTGACAGTTAGAAAAAATAGTTGGGGCAGGCATAGAAGAGCAGGTGAAGCCCTGGCCTTGGATGCAGCTCACCCGGGTTTGGTCCCCAGCACCCAGCTCCCTGAGCCCTCCAGGCGTGAACCCTGAGCACAGAGCTAGGCGTGATCCCTGAGCACAGAGCTAGGAGTGATCCTTGAGCACAGAGCCAGGAGTGATCCTTGAGCACAGAGCCAGGAATGATTCCCTGAGCACAGAGCCAGGCATGATTCCTGAGCACAGAGTCAGGAGTAAGCTCTGAGCACAGAGCCAGGAGTGATTCTTGAGCACAGCGCCAGGAGTAAGCTTTGAGCACAGAGCCAGGAGTGAGCTCTGATCGACACAGCCAGATATGACCCAAACACCCACAAAACAAAATGAAAAAAATCTTAAATAGTGGCTTAATGCTCACCCCCCATATATTTAAACATTCTGAACACAATGAATTGATTATTCATTGTATGACTATCGATAGTGGAGAGTGAGACAGTTGATTAAAATTCTTTGAATTTTTTGTTTTAGTGAAAATTTTTAGTAGTTCTGCTCTTCTTGTGTAAATTTTATTTCTTGTGTGAGATGTATGGTAGGTGCCGGAACGCGGCTTTGCCTGGGCTGGGGGAGACTGGTAAGGGTCTTTCCTCAGTTTCCACACTTCCTTTCTAACATTCTGTGTTAAAAATCTGTCAGCCTGGGCCCGGAAAGGTGGCACAGAGGGTAGGGTTCTCATGGCAGCTGTTCTGCGTTTGGTCTCTGCACCTTCACCGGGAGTGATCCCTGAGCACAGAGCACTACACAAAACAAACAGAATTACAAAAGAGCATGAAAATATCTGTGATTTCTATTAGACCCAGTGATTTGTTTTATTTCATATTATTACGGTAATGGGCTGGAGCAACAGCACAGTGGTAGGGCATTTGCCTTGCATGTGGCCGGCCAGGCCAACCAGGGTTCGATTCCTCCGCCCCTCTCGGAGAGCCCGGCAAGTTACTGAGAGTATCTTGCCCGCACAGCAGAGCCTGGCAAGCTACCCGTGATGTATTCGATATGCCAGACATAGTAACAACAAAGTCTCCAATGGAGACATTACTGGGCCCACTTGAGCAAATCGGGAGGACAGTTGACAGTGATTATGGTAATAATCACAAAATTATTCTTAATTAAGATATAATACAATGGGATTGAAGTAAAATGACTTAAAACTTGTAAAACTTAATGGTCAAAGACAATACCATTTAATGATTCATTTTACGAAATCTAGGCCCTCCCGTTGATCATCGATTTGCTCGAGCGGGCCCAGTAACGTCTCCATTGGAGACTTTATTGTTACTGTGTCTGGCATATCGAATACTCTCGGTAGCTTGCCGGGCTCTCCGAGAGGGGCGGAGGAATCGAACTCGGGTCGGCCATGTTGGCTGCATGCAAGGCAAACGCCCTACCGCTGTGCTATCGCTCCTTTGTGCCTACATATGCATAGTTAAAAAGTGAGATCGTTTCAAAATTTGTACTGCAAACAACAGCCTAGCAACCATCACTTTTGATCTTTGAAGGAATTTGCCTGTCTCCTTTAGGCCTTACCCTTCGGCTCTGCTGTAACTGCTCGTGCTTTTATTGCTGTTCTTTTTACTATTAACCAAGCAGCTGAAATACAGTGATTTTTGTCCATCTGCTGTGGTAAGGTCCATGTCAGTGTGCGCACGGCAACACCTGACGGGTCCAAGATTAGAACTGAGGTGGCCACGCCTTAGTCTCCCTCTGCAGTTTGCTGGAACACTTGAACTCCACTTCTCATCACCCTCATGGGACAGTGGAATTTATGTCATCATTCATTTGCCGGGCTGGGGCTTGATCAGGTCCTCCACATACGAGGCATGTGCTCTACCGCTGAGCACGCCTCGAGTTGTTCTTGTTTCTCTCTCTCTCTCTCTCTCTCTCTCTCTCTCTATATATATATATATATATATATATATATATTTGCACTTAAAGAACTTTTTTCTTTTTCTTTTTTTTTGTGTGAAACACCATGAGGTACAGCTGTAGACTTACAAATTTTTGTGCTTGGGTTTCAGTTATACAATGATCGAGTACCCATCCCTCCACCAGTGCCCCTTCTCCACCACCACCACTCCCAATATCCCTCCCACCCCCCATCCCCCCATCCCCCCCTACCACTGTGGCAGGGCATTCCCCTCCGTTATCTCTCTCCTTTTGAGTGCTGTGGTTTGCAAAAGAGACATTGAGTGGCAATCTTGTTCGGACTATAGTCTACTCTCATCACGCATTTCCCATCCTGTTCTCTCAATATATTTTATTTGTTAGAGCTAACCCCCCCCCTTTCTTTTTAGTAATTGTCTGCTTACCAATCCACTTTAGTCACTGCTTCATGTATTTTCATACATATCATTTTCATCTCTTTGTATGTTGCATCATAGGTATTGCTTCATACATTTAGTAAATGCTTCATCTTTCTGACTCCGCTTTCATGAAATAAGGTCAGGATTCTTCCCTTCTATTAGTTCTGTCGCTGAAATAACCTGCCCTTGCTTTTTTTAGGCTCGCGGATTCACAGAGGCTCACTGAAAGTCATTCTTTGACCAAACATTTGGCTGTCTTGCAGAGAGCCCCAGGGCGTGGCAGGGAAGTAGGAGGAAACCAGGCCACTCACCCGCCTTCCAAGGTCTTGATACTAGAGAGACTTCTTTCTGCTTTTGCTTTTTGGGTCACACCCGGCAATGCATAGGGGTTATTCCTGGCTCATGCACTCAGGAATTACTCCTGGCGGTGCTCGGGAGACCATAGAGGATGCTGGGAATCGAACCCGGGTCGGCTGTGTGCAAGGCAAACGCCCTACCCACTGTGCTATCACTCCAGCCCTGAGACTTTTTTTTTTTTTAAATTGTTGTTCATCACACATGCAAGTTAAGCTCAGGGCATACTCCTGGTTCAGGGATCACTTCTGACAGTGCCCAGGGACCTTCCATAGCGCCGGGGATTAAACCTAAGTCCGCTGTGTACAAGGCAGGCACCTCACCTGCTGTGCTCTCTCTGTCTCTGTCTCTCTTCCTCTCTCTCCCTCCCCCCAACCCTGGAGATGCCTGTCATTGCCAAAAGGTGGACAAGGTCCTGAAAGAGTCTGACAAAGGGGAGGGAGCTTCTGCCACAGCCAGGGCTCGGGGAGGCCAATGGGGGCCTTGGAGAAGCCGTGGCAGGAGGTGGGAGACGGAAGCAGGTGGCGAGCAGGTGCCTGCCAGGTGCAGGGGTCAGGCTGGGGACAGCAGCTGTGCTCACTGTGGAGCTGAGGGCGGGGCACGGGTCTGAAGGGCAGCAGGAACCCCACCTCTGAGACTATCTCCTGGGTTTGGACTTTCATACTCATAAATTCCCTAGAGGATTTTTCTTCTTTTCTTTTTTTATTTTGGTGGTGGTGGGGACAGGGGAGTTGGAGTCACACCTAGCAGTGCTCGGGGCTTACTCCTGGCTCTGTGCTCAGGGAGCAGTCCTGGCAAGTGAGGGACCACGTGGGGTGCGAGGACCAAAGCCCATCAGCTGCATACAGGGCAAACGCCTTACCTGCTGTCCTATCGCTCCAGCCCCTGCTAGGTGACAGGGGACCCATTTGGGCAGAAGCAGTCCCGGCAACGTGCTCTGGCTTCTCTCAGCCCTTGACTTACCCACCAGTCCCTGAACCGAATTTCCCTCGGGTTTTAGCCTTTCACGGTGGACCAGTGGCATCAGTGATACAGAAACTGCCTCATTACTGAGCCAGCAGAAAAAGTGTATCGGCTATTTTAAAAGCTCAAAAGCAATATTTTTAAAGATCGGTGATGTCGGTGCCGTGAGTGTGCTGTTTAAGCCTCCCCCACGTTTTTTCTCTCTGGAAAGTGACGTGCCGCTTTGAGTGTTTGCCCTTCTTCACATGGGTCAGAGAGATCGCACAGGCCTTCAGGCGCTGGCCTTGTGTTCCGCCTTCGCTGGCTCGAATCCCCAGCGCCACATCTGTTCTCCTGAGCACCGCCAAGGGTCACTCCTGAGCACAGAGCCAGCCCCTGAGCACCGCGGGGTGTGGGCCAACCCTCTCATCTCAACTGTTTGCCCAATAGTTTATACATCTTTGAGGTGGGGGGCGCCCAGGCTGTTCCCAGGGGTCCCAGAGGCCCCTCCTGGCAGTACTTGGTGAGCTGGGAGGGGCAGCTGAATAGTGAGACCCAGCCGTGCGACACTGCTCAGGGCCAGTGGTGCCAGGTCCCCGGGGCCTCTTCTGGGCACTCGGAAGGGGGAGCCACGCAGAGTGGGGGAGGGGGTGCCACTCAGCTCCCTCTCCACCCGCCTCTGCTTCCTGCTACTTCTGTGGTCCAGGCGTTCACCTGCACCTTCTGAGGGGCAGGGCCCGGCTCAGAGCTCTTGTGTCTCCCTTTCTCACTGCCCCGCATCCCTGGGTTCCCCAGGCCGGTCTTTGGTGTGGCTCTTTGCTCAGCCCACCCTCAAGCCAGCTGTTTGAGCCCCAGTCTCAGCCGGGGCCCGTGTGCGTGGTCCCCCTGGAGTGCCTGACGCCCCGGGCACTGTCCTCAGAACGATTTAGCCAAGGTCCGGAGTTCATTTTGGAAAGGCCGCCTTGGCGACGATTTTATTGCTTCGGGCGGGGTGGGGAAGCCATTTGGGGCCACACTGGCCCTGCTTGGGGGCTACTCCTGGCAGGTCAGGGGTCTCTCCTGGCCATGCTGGGGGACCATGTGGTACCAGGGATTGAACTGGGATCAGCCCCTTGCAAGTGCCTTAGCCCCTGTGGTGTCTTCCCACATGTGACCGATTATCTTCTGTCTCAGAACACTCACCTCTAAAAATGTGGCAGAGTAGAACAGCTAACTTTATCTGAAATTAAACTCAGCTTATGTATTCCCAGTTTTTGCCTCTGTAACAAATTCTTTTTTTTTTTTATTTTAGTGAAACACCATGAGGTACAGTTGTAGACTTACAAATTGTTGTGCTTGGGTTTCAATTATACAATGATCAAGTACCCAGCCCTCCACGAGTGCCCATTCTCCACCACCACGGATCCCAGTATCCCTCCCCACCCCCCATCCCCCCCCCCCCCCATCCCACCCTGTCTCTGTGGCAAGGCATTCCCTTTTGTTCTCTCTCTCCTTTTGGGTGTTGTGGCTTGCAAAAGAGGCAATGGGTGACAATCATGTTTGGTCTATAGACTACTTTCAGCATGCTTCTCCCATCCTGGGAGGATCCTCCCAACACCCTTATTTGGTGTTCCCTTCTCTGTCTGAGCTGCCTTTTCCCCTCGCATGTGTTGCTGACCTCCAAGCCATGGAGCAAAATTCCTGGTACTAATCTCGGCCACTCTGTAACAAATTCTTTAAAATTTAGTCATATGTCCCTTATGGGCAGGAGCGATAGCACAGCGGTAGGGCATTTGCCTTGCACGCGGCCGACCTGGTCAGCTCAGATTCGATTCCTCTGCCCCTCTCGGAGAGCCCGGCAAGCTACCGAGAGTATCTCGCCCGCACGGCAAAGCCTGGCAAGCTCCCTGTGACATATTCGCTATGCCAAACACAGTAACAAGAAGTCTCACAATTTGTTGTGAGATGTTACTGGTGCCCGCTCGAGCAAATCAATGAACAACAGGAGGACAGTGATGTCCCTTATATATTGGACAAGATGTGCTTCATATAGCCTCCTATTTTTTTTTTAACATAATTAGATTTAATATGATAGAAATGCATTCAGTAAAATAACTTAAGGGTACATAATTGCTAATGTAATTTTTAAATCTTATGATAATTAACTGACATTTTAGTTATAAATAACTACAATTATTGATATGTTATAATTATTATGATTCTGATCAATTTTAGGCCACTTTGCCTGTGGAATCTCATGACTTAGTGCTCAGGGATCAATAGGATTTGATAGTTTAAGTAATTTCTAGCCATATGATCTTGAAAATGAAATTTTTTGTACATTTTTCCTTTATAACATGGCAATAACAATAAGTACTTAAATCATAGAGATGTTGGAAGAATTGAGTTAAGACTTGTAAAAATGTTGGGGCTGAAGTGATAGCACAGCAGGTAGGGCGTTTGCCTTGCAAGCAGCCGACCCAGGTTCGATTCCCAGCATCTCATATGGTCCCCCGAGCACCGCCAGGAGTAATTCCTGAATGCAGAGCCAGGAGTAACCCCTGTTGCATCGCTGGGTGTGTCCCAAAAAGAAAAAAAAAAAGACTTGTAAAAATGCTTACCAGAGCCTAGAACTTAAACCATGCCCAGTGAGTTGAATTAGCTGCTGTCGTGATTGTTTTATTTGGGGGCTGGGGGGGCACACGTGGCAGCACTTCGGACTTATGCTGGCTCTGTGCTCAGGACCACTCCTTGCTGTGCTCAGGGAACCGGATGTGCTACCGGGGATGAGAATGGGGCGACTGTGCACACGGCAGGCGCTGGACTGTCTCTGGCCCCTTGTAGGAATTATGGTGCGCCAGGTTGCGATGTCAGCAATCAGTCCCTGTGTCTGATTGATACGGCAGTGCATTTTATTCAGCTGAAATTGAACATTTTGTGTTTCCATATCCGTCTTTTTGCAAGAGGCTCATTCGTTTCATTAACCCAAGGGAGTATTTACTGAATTTACGCCTCGAAATGTGTTAGGCACTTTGGGGATACAAGATTGTTTTCCTTCAAGAAACTTTTGTTTGAGATGCTCACGTGTTTGACCAGTGAGACGGTACAGAGGTCAAGGCACTTGCCTTACACGCTGCTGACCCGGGGGTCGACCCCAGATGTTCCACCGAGCACCCCTAGGAGTGAGCCCCACGCATTGCTGGGTGTGCCACCCAGCACCCCTCCATCCCCAAATGCTTAGGCTTGGGATGGCTCAGTGGGAGGCGCCTGCTCTGTGCAAGGTCACAAGGTCCGTCACCATGTGAGACTCCAGTGGCATGGGCACGGGTGACCTCTGGAGCACTGTGGCCAGGTGTGCACCCCTGCAGGCACCACGGCTGCGTTGGCCCCCAGTATGTGTGGCCTGGTGCTCAGAGGAGCAGCAGAGGGAAGGGGAGATCATGGTTCCTATGGGTGCCTCATTCCGTGGAAACGTGGGCCGAGACATGGCAGAGACAATTAAGGCCTTTGGGGTCAGTGCATCACGCACTCCGTAACAGTTGGCGTAACCAGCATGTATGTTTCTGTTCTTGAACAGGTTTCTGCATGTTTGTGCTGAGCTTGGTGAAAAAGCATTATCGCCTGCAGTTTTATATGGTGTGTATTAACCTTTATTGTCTGGTCACTATATATAGATATATATATAGAGAGAGAGTCATAACACAAACATTTTTTCTAGAGGCAGGATATATATCATCTAATCTGAACTGAAACCTGTAAACTAATAAACAATGCCTTACTAAATGTCAAGAAGACTTCAGTTTGGGATAACTAAATATAAAAAGCTGGAGTTTAAAAATTTGTGAAGGGCCAGAGAGATAGTCCAGGTGGATAAGGTGCTTGCCTTGCACACGGCCGACCCAGCTTCAATCCCTGTCACCCCACCTGGTCCCCTGAGCCTGCCAGGAGTCATCTCTGAGCACAGAGCCAGGAGTCAGCCAGGAGGGAGCCCTGAGCACGACCAGGTGCGGCTCAAAAGCAGTTTTTGAGATTCGAAATTTTTTTTTAATGTTTCCAGTTTCCCCTGAATCTGAACATTCATAGTTTTTCTTTGAATATTTTTTTAAAGACTACAGAATTATGAGAATGCTTTTGGAGTTCTTAAATTTGTAGAAATGTGAAGTTTCCACGGTCTCATGGAGACAGTCAGAACCTTTGAAGAAAATCTGCTTCTGTTCTCTATTCCCTGGTGTGTCTACATTTAGTCATAGAGCCATATGACTATTTTTTATTGTACAGTATTGTATTACTTGTGTCCTCGAACAGTGTTTATCTTGTCAAACTTATTGCTGCTCAAGATAAACGTCTTTTATTTCATACAATGGTAATCAGAAATTTAAAAGACAACCTAGTGTTTAGATCTGTAAATTCAGGAAATAGTATATTGGCTTATATGTTCTGTTCTTTTTAAATTTTTTATCTTATTTACTATTATTATAATTAATCGTTTTGACATAGGCACTGACATTTAGGAAGCTTTTTTGAGCACGGCCAAAGCAGTAGATCAGCAGGGAGGGCGTTTGCCTGGCAGGCGGCTGACCCAGGTTTGCTTGCTGGCATCCCATATGGTCCCCCAAGCACCGCCAGGAGTGATCGTAGACTCAGGAGTAACCCCTGAGCATCGCCGGGTAGGCCCCAAAGCGAACAGAGAACCAAAACAAATGATGACCAGTTTCAGGCATTCTGTGTCCCAGCCCCAGATCCACCACGGGCCTCAGTGTCCCTCTGCCAGTGACCCGAGGTTCCCTCCCACTCCTCACACTACCGTCTTAGCAAACTCATTTTCATCAATTTATTTTTTAGTCACTGTGATTTATGCAGTTGCTTCCAGTAGGGCTTTAGGCATACGTTGTCCACCCCCGCCATTTACACTAACTCGTGTTCTTTCCTCTTTATCTTTTGGTAAGTCGTTCAGATGTCCCTCTGTGCCCTAGTCCTGGGACAGTCACAGTAGTTCTTAAATTTCTAATTCCACAATTCTTAAGAAGAATGGGGTGGGAGGCGGAGCCATAGCACAGCAGGTAGGGCGCTTGCTTTGCATGCGGCCGACCCAGGTTCAATCCCTGTCCCCCACGCCTGCCAAGAATGATCCCTGAGCACAGAGCCAAGAGTAAGCCCTGAGCACTGTCTGCTGTGGCCCCAAAATAAGTGAACCGAAACAGAAGAGTAAGAAGAATGAGGGGGCCCGGAGAGATAGATAGCGCAGTGGGTAGCGTGCTTGGTCTTGCACGCAGCCAACCCAGGTTCCATCTCTGGGACCACATTTGGTCCCCCGAGTCAACCAGGAGTGATCCCAGAGTGCAGAGCCAGGAGTAAGCCCTGAGCACATTCTGTCGTGGCCCAAAAAACAATAACAGCAAAAAGAAGAATGAGGAAAATATCCAGTGAAAGTAGAAATACTAGAAAATCCTCTGAAAAGAAAAGGGATGCCTATTGGAAAGGCCGTTTTATAAAGTGCAGTACAAGCTTACCAGACACGTGTCTCACATCGTCAGCCTTTACCCATCCACGCTGACGGGGCAGCGGAACACAGAGGACACGGGCTCTCAGGACAGACAGGACGGGTGACCCAGAGGCCTCAGTGAACACTGTCTCTGGATAGAGCTGGAGGGGTCGGCTCAAGACGGAGCAGCTAGAGCGTCAGGGCAGTTGAGCGGGCTGTCTTTTGAAGGAAGACACAGCTCTTTAGGCAGGGAGGATTCCCTAAAAGAAGAATGATGCTTTCATTTTATTTTCAAACATTTTTTTTAATAACCATGTAACACAGGCGGAGCAAGTTCCAGCAGTGCCACTAGGTGCCACAACACCTCTGATTTCTCACTGTCAGTTTAACCTGTTGAGTCAAGATTATACTTTCATTTTTTTTTACAGGTTTCCTTTTTTTTTTTTTTTTCCATTTTGGGTCACACCCAGTGTGACCAGGGGGTTACTCCTGGCTCTACACTCAGGAATTATTCCTGAAAGCGCTCAGGGGGACCATATGGGATGCTGGGAATCGAACCCCGTTTGGCCACGTGCAAGGCAAATGCCCTGCCCACTGTGCTATCGCTCCAGCCCCTTCATTTTCATTTCTAAAGGTTTTTTTTTTCCAGTTTAGTAGTATATTTCTTTTTTATTAGCATACCATCGTATGTGTACACTTTCCTGGTTTTTTAGGTTTAACCGGGTACCAAAATAAGTATTACTTCCCAATGGTATTTATTTTGCATGATCTCGTCTTGCAAAGTTTGACCAGCAGTCATGTTAGACATTCAGAACTGCTCTTGCTTTCTGGGCTGCACTGGGGGTTGTGTTCACTGATTGTTGTGTTATTAACAGTTCGCATGGACTCATGTCACTTTGCTGATAACAGTCACGCAGTCACATCTTGTCATCCAAAATCTGTTTGAAGGCATGATATGGTAAGGCATTAGCGTTGTACGCTGCTTTCTATCCTCGTCGCCTTCCCTCTAAGCCCTTTCACACGGGGCCGTGTCTTGAAGATTCTCTGTTGGTCTATTTTATTAGAGGTGGCTGTCTTAACTAAAGTTTGCTTACTTTTTGATGCTGCAGATGCTTTGTTAGTAACTGGAAGTTTCCTTCGGTACCAAATGCCAATTTTTCCATAAAAGTTCCAAAGAATTAAATCCATCTTCAAGCGTTACTGGACCTTAATGTGATTTTTTACAAAACAGTCGAAATAGAAGATAATTGGACTGGGGACAGTCCGGTGGGTAATGCACTTGCTTACACCACATGTGGTCACACCTCCAGGAGTGACCTGAGTGCTGACCGAGGAGTAACCCCTGAGCACCGCCAGGTGTGACCCCAAAACAAACAAGAAAAAAGAGTCGATCATTTGTTTGGAGTACAAAAAGAATATACAAGTCTATCAGCAGATAGTGTGCTGACACTACATTATCTACATTAGGGTAGGTTCTTGCAGATTCAGGAAAAATTTTTATTAGCTCGAGCAAATTAGCTAAGAATGAAAATAAAATTTAAGATGAAAAACTCTCTGTTCAGGGGCATGGGAGATGTGCCCAACCATGCTTTGCCCCAGGCCCCATGAGTCACCAGGGGTGGTGCTCCCTGTACTGTCCTCCTGAGAGTCATCCCAGGTCTCATCCTCCTGGGTGTCACTCTGAGTGTCGCCAGAAACGACGGAGGAGCACCACTTTGGAGCCCTCCCAAGAAGTACCTGAAACTTTACCCACATGCTTTTTCTAAGCATAAGGATGCTTTTTATAAGCACCCATTCATAAGGATGTTTTGTATTGGATGGGTTATGTCAAGATAAATGATTTCCTTCTCTGTTTCTTCTAAGATGTCTGTGCATGTGCATGTGTCTGTAAGTAATTGGAATCGCTTTAAGATTGTCATCCAGATACACGAATTTTTGACTGGGGACAGCTACTGAAATGGGTACAGTTAGTAGATTTAATGCAACTATAGGCTAAGATAGAATTAATCTTGATCATTATTTTTCCTGAGAAACAGACATTAAGAGTGTATTATACAACACCCAAAAGGAGAGAGAGAACACAGGGGATTGCCCTGCCACAGAGACAGGGGGGATGGGGGGATGGGGGTGGGAGGGATATTATCCATGGTGGTGGAAAATGGGCACTGGTGGAGGGATGGGTATCTGATCATTGTATAATTGAAACCCAAGCACAAAAAATTGTAAATCTACAACTTTAAAAAAAATAAAATAAAATAAAGGAAAAAAAAAATTAAAAAATTAAAAAAAAAAAGAGTGTATTATAAATGTATCAGATAATAGCATTTCGAAATGAATGAGTATTCGTTTCCATTTTGAAAGACGGCCTTAAAGAAATTTCTTACATTTTGTATCTTGCTCCTCATAAAACTCATAATTTAAAGACCACATTTAGAGACTATTATTACTTAATATTAAAAGTCAATTTAGGTAATTTTTTTTTGCAATAGTCTTTTAGCATACTAGTTTATAGATTTATGTCAGTTACAAAATGGACTAATGTGATTGATACTTTTTTAAAAAAACTGATGTTTTATTTAGTATTGTATTCAGGACTAGGTGTCGGTATAATCCAAATAGATATTGTATTGATTGGCATAAGTCATAGCCTGTGTGACTCTCTGCCACTTAGTTATATGGACTTTTCTCGCTCACTTCTTTTTTTTTTAAGGTTCCTTGTCCCAATATCAAGTGTTATCTGCAATGACATAACTGCTTACCTTTTTGGATTTTTTTTTGGAAGAACTCCATTAATTAAGGTAACAAAGAACTACCCCGAAGCACTGTCGTAACCTTTACTGTAAGGGCTAGCCCCTGGGGCCTTTCCAGCAGTGGGTCCTGTAGCACATTCTGATTTCCAAATCTCTCTGGCTTCCCGTGAGTTATTCTTCTGACTCCCAAATGCAGGCTTAACCTTGCGTGTCCCCGAGCCTCTCCCTGGAAGCGTGTTTTGTTCCCTTCCCTTAGCCGTTGTGTGCTCCTTGATGGATCATCTCTGCAGCCTCTAGACGTGGGCTTGACATGGGCTTCCCCTGGGCCCCGCCCCCTCCCTGCCAGCTCTGGAACTCCTGGGCCTTTATGGGCGTGAAGGGGTCTGTCTGTGAAGCGCTTGGTAACCTCCCTCCGCCTGTCCGTTCTTCCTAGCTGCAGAAACAACCCTTGCCGTTCATTTGGCTTCTCTTGACTCCAACGAGAGGTTTATCACAGACACCATCAGTGATCTCCTGATGGCCACCCCCCCCCCCTTTCCAGCCCTTCTCTTGTCCGGCACCTCAGCAGTTAGCACCCTCCACTTCTCAGTATCTCTGCCCTTGATTCTTCAGATTCCAAACTTTCCTCCAGATTCCTCCCCCTGAATATCCCATTGTCTGAGGAACAATAGCCTGAATGTAACCACATGTATCTGTTCCTGGAAGCGGGGCATATTTCTTTTTTCATGGAGGCAGTCCTAGCTTGTGGCCAAAGAGAGAGAGAGAGAGAGAGAGAGAGAGAGAGAGAGAGAGAGAGAGAGAGAGAGAATGAATATGTGAACCACATACACAGTTATTTAGGGCGCTGGGGTATTTTGCCACGTCAGATCTTTCTGTGTCTGTGCTACTGGGTAGTACAAGTATTTGCTAATACTCATTCCATTTTTGGTCAGGACAGATCACGGGTGCGTGGAATGAAGCATCTGACCCATATTTCAAGAACTACACTTTGCAAGAGGGATCAAATAAGCACATGGACCATCACGGAGCGCTTTCGTTCTATAGTCTTTTGAGACAACTCACAAATTGAGTCTATTTACAGAAGCAAATAGATTATGTTCGTAGTATCGCAGATGTGTGAGGGGCTCCTAGGTGTTAGATGCCGCTGTAGAACTATAAGCCCAGTAAGTGAGGATCATAGAGTCAAGGCGACTGGTCCCATGAGGCAAAATTAAAGAGAGAAGCAGAAGTTAGATAGGAATTCTTTGCACAGAATTTGCCTATGTGTTTGAGCATGTCATGCATTAACTCTTTTTGAACTTTCTTTTTCTTTTTCAGTTGTCTCCAAAAAAGACTTGGGAAGGATTCATTGGTGGTTTCTTTTCCACAGTCATATTTGGATTCATTGTGAGTTTTGGAGAATTTTTTTAAACTTTGTTTAAACGCTGTGGTTTACAGAGTTGTTTGTAATGTAGTTGTTTGGGGCACTCAATGTTCCAACAATAATCCCACCAATTTGGGAGGATTATTGTACATATATTTTGAAAAAAGTAGCAAACTCATTGGTCTCTTTGAAACCTGAAGAAATAAAGGACAAATTGCTATTAATAACATATCCACATGGCAGAATGCTAATGAGATAAGAAAAAAGAAGAAAAAGGTATCAAGTTCTGCCCAGTATTTATGCATTACAGAGCAGGGATGATGGAACATTATTAAGAGAAATTATACTGGGGCTGGAGCAATAGCACAGCAGGTAGGGTGTTTGCCTTGCACGCAGCCAACCCGGGTTCGAATCCCAGCATCCCATATGGTCCCCTGAGCACCGCCAGGAGTTAATTCCTGAGTGCAGAGCTAGGAGTAACCCCTATGCATTGCCAGGTGTGACCCAAAAAACAACAACAACAAAAGAGAGAGAGAGAGAGAGAGAGAGAGAGAGAGAAATTATACTATAAGAATTTGATTTTGTTAAGATTAAGTTTGGGATATCATGGGAGTAGCCATATCATGGAAAGGAAATTAAGATCTCCGTTGTAAAAATGTCAGGCTTCAGTTATGAGGAAGGAAATTCTATACTTGCGGGGACATGTGCTGCTGGGGACTGATTTTGTGCAGTAAGTTTTGGTCCTATACTTGCTCATTAGTTAATCTTATGTATACTTTCTAAAAGCCAAACCTTGCTGTAACGTTTGTCTAAACTTTCAGATCAGTCTCTCCCCTTTACTCCCCTTAGAGTCATAGAGAGATTTCAATCTCCATTGGTTGAAGTGATAGTCTAAATGACTTCAAAACCTTTGGCTGGATCCGTTTGACCAATCTGACTTTGAAAACGCACAACAAAGTGTGACTGCAGAGATATTGTTTTATGCATGTGCATTCTGCACACGGAAGATCTGCGTTCCTCCCTTGTTTCACGAACTCCTGCTTTGTTATTCAGGCTGCCTACGTGTTGTCCAAATACCAGTACTTCGTCTGCCCAGTGGAATACCGAAGTGACGTCAACTCCTTCGTTACCGAGTGTGAACCCTCAGAGCTTTTCCAGCTTCAGGACTATTCCCTCCCTCCCTTGCTCAGGGCACTGCTGAGAAGGGTAAGATGAGCATGGTTAATCCAAAGCCAAAATTAAGCTTAATTTAAAAACATGATTAAGGTTTTTACAAGAAATTTAGTTCAGGGGGCTGGAGTGAGTTCAGGGGGCTGGAATTTTACATTTGTGCAGGAGTTATTAGCAATTTTGTTACCTAATGGTTTCAGTATAGATGACAATTCATCTTGTGCTGTTTTGAAGACATTTTTAAATAATACCTTTGGATTTTTACAGCTAAGTTTAGCATGTAACTTGTAGGGCATTTGCCTTGCATGTGGCCGACCCAGGTTCGATTCCCGGCATACTCTATGGTCTCTGAGTACCACCAGGAGTAATTCCTGAGTGTAGAGCCAGGAGTAGCCCCTGTGCATCTCCAGGTGTGACTCAAAAAGCAAAAAAAAAAAAAAAATCAAGAAATTGAGTTCAGCAGAATGTTCAACTTTGTGATATAGATATCGTCTCATCAGTAATATCTTGTGACTATAAAATGAATTTTACACTTGTGTACCAGTTATTAGCAATTTCACTGCCTAATGGCTTCAGTATAGATGATAATTCATCTTGTGCTTGTTTTGGAGACATTTTTAAATAATACCTTTGGATTTTTAGAGCGAAGTTCAGCATGTAACTGGTACGAATGATCTCGATGTAAAACTGAATTAAAATTCACCGTCTCAGGGAACGTTGCTCCTCAGGAGGCCTTCACTAGATAGAAGCTGCTGCTTCTAAAAATCAGCCTGTCTTGCCAAAGCCCACTTTCAGCAAGTAACGGCAAGTGGCTCCTCGCACTCAGGAATGCTGACCAGTAGGGCCCCCCGGGGAGCTGGCCACTCGGCTTGATTGCTTCCACTGGAGAACCGGTACTTGAGTATGTGGGTATTTGGAAAATTTTCTTTGTAACCAAAATCTCTGATTTTTTTTTTTTTTTTGGAGAGGCATGTAAGCCAGCAAATTATTTTCCTCTTAAGTGCTCCAGACACGGAACCTGCTATAAAATCCCTTGATGTTGCCTGTCTCTGGTTGAGTGTGGTTCCAGAGATTGGTGTTCTCCGTGGTTCTTACGCCACACCCGGTGTGTGTGCTGTCTCAGTTTCAGCCTCCCACAAGTGGGGCAGGAACTAAGGATTTTAAAAGCAGTTTGCCTGCTAAAAATTTAAGCACACCCTTTATTTTTGGCCTGAGAACTCGGGGGTTTTCTTGGAGTGGGGTTGGGTAGCCCTCCACCTCCTCTCCTGCCCCTCCCCGAGCCCCAGGTACTTCCAGAAGCTCCAGCAGCCACACCCACATCCCCTGCCCTGTCAACTCACTGCCCAGTTAAATGCTCTGGAGTGGCATGCAGCCAGCTGGCCGGGCAGCACCCCCAAACTCTGCAGTACTGACACCCCAGGAGGCACCAGATTGGATGGGAAAGTAACATAGAAACCAACTAAGTTCACTGAATCAAAACATCAACACAGAAGGCTCAACTAGCAACAACGGCTTAGAAAACCCTCATACAAGGACATAATGTCCCCATGGTGAGAGAGAGCAGTTTACACAAAGTTTCTTTTACCAGACTATTTTTTTTTGGAATTTGATTAGCCATTTAGTTGTAACAAGCCATCTAAACTAAATTATTGTGGGACTTCTAAGGCTTGGAAGGTGGTTGGGAAAATGAAGACAGTGGTGGAGGGAAGTCCACACGGGTGATGGGATTGGTGTTGGAATGTTGAATGCCTGTAACATATGCGGCTTGAACAACTTTGTAAACCAACTTAAATAAATTAGGGGGGAAATAAAAATAAAGCAGATTGCAGAATTTTCCCCCAGCGTTTATGCTCTCCATAGTATACCTATCACTAGCAGTAGTGTAAGTCACTGTGCCTCCATTAAAATGGGGTAGAAACCAAAAAGTTTTCATTTGAATTTAAAAATCATACTATATTTTTTACAGCATGCTCTTTCTGGTAGTCCCGTCATAAGCAATTGACTTCCACGTGTCTCCACAGTCGTTTCTTTCCTTGTTTGTTTGTTTTGAGGCCACACCCAGCAGTGCTCAGGGCTTACTCCCAACTTTGCACTCAGGAGTTACTCCTGTCTATGCCCAAGAAACCATGGAACCCTGGTTGGCCACGTGCAGGGTTGGGGCTGGAGTGATAGTACAGTGGGTAGGGCTTTTCTTGTATGCAAAAGACCTGGGTTCGATCCCTGGCATCCCATATGGTCTCCAGAGCACCTCCAGGAGTGATTTGAGTACAGAGCCAGGAGTAAGCCCTGAGCACTGCCGGTGTGTGTGTGTGTGTGTGTGAGAGAGAGAGACAGAGACAGAGATGGAGACAGAGACAGAGAGGGTGGGGGAGGGAAAGGAGAACACCATAGGAAATGGCTCAGAGGGCCGCAGGGACAACCCCAGCAGTCCCTAGCACTGTTGTGTGTGGACCAAAGAACAGAAACAGATTAAGGAAAAAAGATCAATCTTTTCCTCATTCCATCATAGTCGAAATGAAATACCACAGAAAATTAGAATAGGTAATTATAAAAATAAAGTACCTCTGGCTAAAAAAAAAGGCAAATTCGGTGTGATAAAAGAATCAGTTGATGCTTGGTAAGCCTGTGACACAGAAGTTGTTAGATAAAGTAGGAAGAAGCTCGTGGAGCTCTCAGCGAGAGCTGAGGACGCCCGCCGCCACAGGTCGGCTTCCAGGGCAACGGGACAGTGCCCGCCCGTGAGAGGGTGGCAGTGAGGTGACGTTTCCTCCATCAGCCTTCAGGGTTGTGGAATCTGCACAGCTGTGTCCTGCGCTCTGGCTGATGCTGGCCTGGGACCCAGGGGACTCTCCCATCCTGTCGCTCACTGCGGCCTCCCCTCCTCTCTCCTCAGGACACCGTGAGCCTCTACCCCTTCCAGATCCACAGCATCGCGCTCTCCACTTTCGCCTCTTTGATCGGCCCGTTTGGCGGCTTCTTTGCCAGTGGATTCAAAAGAGCTTTCAAGATCAAGGTGCGTGTCCCGGGCTCTGCCGGTGCCCCCGGCGCTCTGGGCAGGGGCCGTCTGTAGAGTTGTGACTAGTTCCCTGCTGCTCACAGACACTGAGTTCCCAGGCGAGAACTCTTAGAGCCCCTTCTTTCAGCTTCCCAGTTGCTCCCTGCCTATTGCCGTCATTGCCTTTTTTTTTTTAGGGGTTCCGGCATGCCATTAAGCGTCATGTCAGCCTTTCTTGGTTAGATTGGCACGTGTCACTTCATTTGGGCATAAACGTAGGATCTGGGCCCGGCAAGTGCTCGCTCTGGAATCTGTCCCAGTGTCTGGCTGTGCCGTTGCCCCACGTGGGTGTGTGGGAAGCCTTTGCTGTGCAGCTGCCCGTCATGCTCCAAGAGGGCTCGGCAGCTGCTCCCGTGCGGGCCAGCCCGGCGGTGACGAGCCCGGCCGCAGCTCTGCCCCCTAGACAGTGCTGCCCAGTGGGCACAGCTCGGCCTTATTGACAGGAGCAGGTCACAGGCGTGGGGCCCTTTCAGCCTGGGGGGCCACTTTTGCTGATCCTTCTTTCAGACACTTCACGGGATCCCCGTGTCATCCCATTATTCATCAGTTTGCTTGAGCGAGCCCAGTAACATCTTCATTTTGAGAGTTGTTGTTACTGCGTTTATATTGAATACGTCACAGGGAGCTTACCAGGCTTTGCCGCGTGGGTGAGATCCTCTCGGTAGCTTGCCGGGCTCTCCAAGAGGGGCAGAGGAATCGAACCCGGCTCGGCCGGGCTGGCTGTGTGCAAGGCAAACGCTCTACCGCTGTGCTATTGTTCCAGCCGTGTTTGAATTAGGATCTTCGAAACGGCCACTCCGTCTTCCCTCAGCGTCCGGTCTTGCCAGGGCTTCCCGGGGTGGGCGGTCGTCCCGTCAGGAGCTAGACGGCAGCTCCCAAGGCAGGTGGTTGCAGGGGCCTGGCTGAGAAGCAGGGAGGCAGGTCAGGGAGGAAGTCCCTGTGAGCACGGAGGGATGGAGAACTCGGCAGAGGAGGGCAAGATATGGGCCAGATCTCGGGAGGTGATAAAGGGCCTGGGGGGGGGGGGGAAGGGTGGCGCTTGCATCACGGAAGCACCTGGCGCCCTGCTGATGTTTAGGCCACGCACAAGGATCGCTAAAATGTTTTCCCACTTCTCAAGCTCCCCCGCCTCAGAGAGGACTAAGGCCCAACTCCAGGGACCCCCGCCTGCCTGTCCGCAGTCCAGGGCGTGGGGGCCACTCAGGGATGGGCAGGAGTAAGTGTGGCGGCACAGGCTGCCAAGGACCTTTCCACTAATTTTTTTCAGGGGGGAAATATTTTGTTGAAAACGGCATTTTATTTAATTATCTCCAACCGAAGGTGTCTTGCTGAAGGGTGAAGGCGTTTCCCATGCTTGAAACTAAGGCGTCGCTGCTATTTTGTTCGAGAAGGTTCTGGGCTGCCTGAGGAATCCAGAAGGGCGGTTAGAGATTTCCCTTCCCAGCACCCAGATGTGTGAGCACTGTCGGCACGAGCCCACATGCACAGGCCCGATGCCCCTTCATTTCACTGGGCCTGTGAGTGGACTCGCATCCCAAATGAGCTATTTTGGTTTCTTTTCTGCTCTAAGATTTAGAAGAGGAAATATTGCTTGTTTCTGAATAAGAACTCTTATGACCAACGTGATTTTTATTTTACGGACAAAAATCGGTATTTTCCCACATTAAAATATCATTTCTTGGGTGATCGATTGTTGTATGACTGAAACTCAAACAGGAAAGCTTTGTAACTGTATCTCATGGTGATTAAAAAATAATTTAAAAAATTTAAAAAAAAAAAACATCATTTCTGATGAACCAGAGGTGTAGGCCGTAAGATTAAATTCTTGACATAATCAAGTGCTTGGCTTAACTAGTATTTCATGGGTGTTGTTTCAAAGCTGCTAGGTTCAACTTAGGGCTCATCGTAATTCAGATACACATTTGAAAAATGGGATCTTGACCTGTAGTTCATGTTCTGACGAACTTGTTTTTACTGGGAAAATCTGGCAGTATTTTTCTTAGACTTCATAAAGCCAAGGAGACATTTACACTGGCACGAATTTTATAGCAGGTGATTTTTTAAAACTTTTGTTAATATGTTTATCTGTTTCTTCAGGATTTTGCAAACACCATCCCTGGACATGGCGGAATAATGGACAGATTTGATTGTCAGTATTTGATGGCAACATTTGTGCATGTCTACATCACAAGTTTTATAAGGTACTCTTATTTTTTAAAAACTGTTTTTATCACGTTCTCTTTTCCATACTCATTCGTTTAAAAGAGTTCACTGTTTATGGTGAGTGGTTATCAATCTGTAATAATCTTGCCCTTGAGTAATAATCTTGTAATAATCTTGTGAGACTGTAATTATTTTATAGGAATTTGAGCAGTTCCAGTAAAAAAGCATCAGTATGTGTGCTGGGTCTTTGAGGGCTGAATTCAAGATTCCCCTGATGAAAATTGTACCAAATTTGTGTCATCTGGAGATTTATTTTCTCCACTCTGAGCATTGGGGTGATAACGAGTACTAAAAGATAATAATTTGTTCCAGGAGACTTACCAATGCAATATTGCTCGAGTGCCTGTTATTAATATCAGAGACTGTCCTAAGCATAGATTGGGCAGAGTCCGTCCCCTCAAGACATACTTTCTTATTGGTGACTTGGAAGGCGAAGGGACCAAAAACAGACAGTGCAATAAATTTCGCGTGGCTGGTTAGTGCTGTGTAGACAGTAAGAGTAGGCCAGAGACGGGGGTTGTGTGGGAGATGGGTGGGAGGCTTGGGGCGAGTCGATGGTGGTACTGTTACACAGATGATTCTTATTAAGAAACCTTGACATTCTGGATCTCACTTCAAGTACCAGCTTGTGTACAAAGACTAACCACGTCATCCACATCTTAATTTGCCTCCCCACAATCTCAGTGGTGTCTGAATCATTGAAAACATGTACTTTATTTAGTGTGTAATTAATATTTATAGATCCCTAAGTGCACACTTCAAACCTTTGTCCATAGTGGTATAAAAGTTTTCATCCTTCCTTTACTTTTTCTTGGACAGTCTTATTGGGAGTCTGTTTCATTGATTTATACAAAGAATCCAGTTATGGCTTGTTAATTATATGCTTGTTTTATGTTTCATTAATAGTCATTCTTATCTCTAGTTCCTTAAGCTTCCTTTAGGTTTAGTTTTCTGTTATTCTTTCGGTTACTTAAAATGACACTCAGATTATGGAAGTTTCAGCCTTGTCTACACAGGATGGTGAATTTCTTCTTCTTTTTTTTTTTTAATTTTTATTTATTTATTTATTTACAGTTGTAGATTTACAATTTTTTTTGTGCTTGGGTTTCAATTATACAATGATCAGATACCCATCCCTCCACCAGTGCCCGTTTTTCACCACCATGGATAATATCCCTCCCACCCCCATCCCCCCCTCCCCCCCGCCTCTGTGGCAGGACAATCCCCTGTGTTCTCTCTCTCCGTTTGGGTGTTGTGGTCTGCAAAAGAGGCATTGAGTGGCAAACATGTTCAGTCCATAGTCTACTTTCGACATGCATCTCCCCTCCTGGGAGGATCCTCCAAACATCCTTTATTTGGTGCTCCCTTCTCTATCTGAACTGCCCTTTCCTCTAGGATACCCAGCTGGCCTCTAAGTTATGGAGTAATCCTCCTGGTGCGGATCTCAGCTTGAATTTCTTCTTAAGCACTGCCTTACCCAAATGCTCCACGTTAAATTTATTTTCATGATTCAATTGCAAATATTTTCTGGTTTCCAGCTTACTATGTTCTCTGACATGTGGATTATTTAGAAGCATACTGAGGGGCTAGAGTGATCGTGCAGCAGGGAACACGCTTCCAACTTGGGTTCAAACCCCAGCGCCCCATCTGGTCCCCTGAGCACTGACAGGAGTAAGCCCTACGAGCAGTTGGGTGTGACCCACAAACCAAAAAAAGAAACACAGAAATAGAATAGTTGTATTGATCATAATTAGTTCTAAAACAAATCGAGATTTTCTCATTGCTTTTCCTGAGATTTGGGGGGGGGAGGGGCGGGGTCTGAATTCCACTATAAAAAGAAACTGCTTTTTAATATTTTAGTATTGAATATTTGTTAAGTATTGCTTTAATGTCCCAACATGTTGTCTATTCTGATACATGTTCCATGCAATGGCTGTGCAGTCTGCAGTGTTGGGAGGGTGGGTAGCATTGTGCATGTCAGTTGGGTGACGCTTGATGAGATTTTCTGTGCTGAGTTGTTGGTTTCTTTTTTTCTCTCTGCCCATTCTGTCAGTTATAAAGGGAACTGTGTCAGAATTTTCCAGTGTTAGCAAATTTACCTATTATATTTTCAGTCTTTGCTCTTTTTGCTCTGTTTTTGCTCTATGTATTTTGAACTTGTATCAGGAATATGCGTATTTAGGGTTGTCTTGTCTTCATGTTGGATTGATCCCTTGGTCATTGTTTTATACTGTCCTTTTTTATGACTTGCTTATGCCTATTTTGTTGACTATTAGCAATAAAAATACCTTGCAAACACAGCTTTATTTTGGCCTGTTTTTACATGGTATTTTTCTGTCTACCTTTTAATCTTTAGCACTCCTTTATTCATATACTTAAAGTGTGTTTCTCCTTTTTTCTACTAAGAAGCATACCTCTGGAGCTTGCAATGAACTCAGTTAAGGGGCTGGAAAGATAGTATAGTGGTTAGGGATCTTTCTTTGCATGCAGCTTACGTAGGCTTGATCTCTCACACACACATGTTCCCTGAACACTGCATAGAGGAGCCTCAGTACCACCAGGAGTGATCCTGGACAGATCTGGGAGTAAGCCCCGAGCATGGCTGCCTTCCACCCTCACCTCCTTCTCAAAACAGAGAAAATGCCAACAATAGACAGAAATCAGTTGACAATCTTTGTCTATTTCATTGGAATATGTAATCATTTGCATATGATTTGTTTTCTGATGTATTTAGTAGTGGTTGAGCCTTTAGAATTCTTTGCTTTCAGGAGACGACAGCTCTCAGGCATCAATTCAGTCCTTTTTAACAGTCTGTTTCTGTCTTCATCTTACTAGATGTCATACCGTGAGCCATGTTGAAACCAAATACTTAGTACTCAGGTGTTCCGAGAGAGTGCCCGGGTGCAGCTATTAGCTGGGAACACCCGCTGACATAATTTTGCAAATTAGCTGAACTTGCAAAAATAACCTTCCTTGTCTCTGTGGGTCTCTGCTCTGATTCTACGTTATGAAGCTACTAAATCTTCTGAAGAGACGTAAGACAAACAGGGCTTTAACTGTGAGAGGCATATGGCCACCTCTTTTTTGGCTGACGAGTTAAGTCATTTGTATGAAGGTGCAGCTAATCTAACTATGTTTTAGTTTCTTAAAGATTTCAGGATAGGTTCAAGATGACATAGTTTCCACGTATGTATGTATGTGTATCCCGACCAAATCACTTAGAAGAAACATACCTCAAAATACTAATGGTCACTTAAGACAAACCCAAAGCCAACATCATACTCAGTGGTAGACGGTGAAAGCTTTCCTCTTAAAGATCCAGTGTTGGAAGTCCTACCCAGAGGAACTAAATAAGAAAATTATATAGAAGGTGTCCGAATAGGAAAGGAACGGGTGAAATTACCAGCATTTGCAGATGATGGGCTCAGAAAGTCCCAAAGATCCTAGTAAAACGCAACTAGAAGTACTAGACCTAGATAAAAGAGTGAGGAGCATAGAGAGATACATTGTAACGAAACTGTCAAAAGCTAAAGAATGAGAAACAAGGAGAGCGGGGCTACAGAGACGCAGGGAGTTAAGGCGCTGGCCTAGGCAGAACCCGCAGTGCCCTGTGTTGCCCCTGAGTGCCAGCAGAGGGCACTCCCGAGCACGACCAGGAAGAAGCCCTCGGCATCACCAGGTGACCACACCCCACCCTGATGGTGGACAGAGGGGCTGAGTAGGTTTCCTGGGAGACAGTCTTTTCCAGAGGGAGCCAAGCCGGTACATCAGAAGACGCACGGGGGGTGGGGGGTGGGGGGGAGACAGAGACACAGAGAGAGAGAGAATGTACAGGGGTCAGGGTGTTTGCCTCGCGGGTGGCTTTGCCCTGTTCAATTCCCAGCAGCTCATCCAACCTCCAGGTGCCGCCAGGAGAGACCCCCGAGTGCCGTGCCAGGAGCAAGCCCTCAGCACTGCTGGGTCTGGCACAAATACAAAGAAAAAAAAAAAAGAAAAAGATCCCCAACATCACTGATCATCAGGGAAATGCCAATCAGAACCCCATACCGTCCATGTGTATTTGTCATAAAGAAAACAATTGTTTCAAACGTCTGGACAAGGTGGTGGAGAAAAGTGGCCCCTCATGCCCTGCTGGTGGGAATGGAAATTGGTGTAGTCAGTGTGGAGAACGGGGTGGAGGTAGGGGACCGGGGGGTGTTGGGGCACGGCTCCCGCCAGAAAAGTGAAAAACAGAACTACCAGTATGGTCCAGCGACTTCAGTGTACACCGAATTAGAGGAGAATAATAACAGGAGTTCAAAAAAGATTGCGTGCACTGATCGCAATGTTATTTCTTATTGCCAAGGTACGGAGAGAACCTCTGTCTCTGCTGGCGGGTGACCAAGGTGTGAAGGTGTGGAGCGTGTTACGTACTCAGAGACGGGCGCTCGGCCACACAGGCTCAAGGGACAGGCTTTGTTTCAAAGTTAAATATTTTTATTTAGGGGCTGGAGTGATAGCACAACGGGTAGGGTGTTTTACCTTGCATGCAGCTGACCCGGGTTCGATTCCCAGCATCCCATATGGTCCCCCGGGCAGCGCCAGGAGTAATTCCTGAGTGCAGAGCCAGGAGGAGCCCCTGTGCATTGCCGCGTGTGACCCAAAAAGCAAAATAATAACAACAACAACAACAACAACAATAATAATAATAATAGCACTGTAGCACTGTCCTCCCGTTGGCCATAGATTTGCTCGAGCGGGCCCAGTAACGTCTCCATTTTGAGATAATGTGTGATAGCACTGCGGTAGGGCGTTTGCCTTGTGCGGCAGCCAGCTCAGCAGAGCCGGGTTCGATTCCTCCGCCCCTCTCAGAGAGCCCGGCAAGTTACCGAGAGTATCTCGCCCGCACGGCAGAGCCTGGCAAGCTACCCGTGACGTATTCAATATGCCAAACACAGTAATAATAATAATAATAATTTAGGAAATATAAAAGAAGAAAAACACCCCCCCCAAAGTAAAAGAAAGGAATTACCAGCCAGGATGTGGGGGTTCCCCAAAGGGAGGCGAGTGAGGAGAAAGGAGCCATGAGCCAGGGCCTCTTGGCCCATGAGCCCTCGCCCAGGGGGGAGGCACGTTTCAGCACCCTAGAGTTCTGTCTGCACCCTTCTCCAGAGATTTTATTTTTTAAGTTTGCCTTTGTGGATTTTGCTGATCTCTCTAATTCTCCTAGTCACAAAGAAGCAGACTCCTCTTCCTATCACAGTGCCCCGCAGAAATTGCACCAGAGAATATGTGGACGTTGCGATGTGAATACGGTTCACTCTCAAGTTTGTCAGAATAAGTAAAGTCATTCCTGATCAGGTTTCAGCCACCGGGTTTCCCACACCCACCCGCCCCTTCCCCTGGGCGCGTGTTCCTCCACCCCTGCCCCCGTGTCAGCTCAAAACCTTCCAGAGCTAAGTGGGTGGTGATGCAGTGAGCGGGAAGTCATGCCAGCACTGTAATCACCCGCCGGCCACAGGCGAGGAGGGGAAGGAAGGGTTTGGGGGGGGGGGTCCTTTGGGTCCCCTAAAGGATGCTCAGGGCCGGGCAGGAGCTGAGCCAGAGGGACCAGCTTGAGGAGAGGCCCCTCTGGCTATCGAGGCGTGTCTCGGGGAGAGTTGGAATCTGGCAACTCATCACCTCCAGGAGGACAGGAGGCCCCTCCCCACCTCTCCCCTGCAGCTGATCCACTGCCCATGGCCTGGGGGCCACACATGGTGCCTGGGGGTTTGCTCCAGGTCATGCTTGGGCCGCAACAGATCCACATTTACCGAGTTTCCTCCTGGAGTTTGTCTCTGAACAAGAGGCCCCTTTTGTGTCCTGGGTGGGGTCCTTTCAGGCGTGGGACCCTCTCTGATTGTTCCTACTCCCCAGGGCTTTGGCTTCGTGGTCTGAAACTGCTTGGAAGCTATATTTGCAGTTTCATACTCTCTTCTTGATGCGTTCCAGTCTGCCAAGAGCGTTGCTACTTTCCTTACCGGATCACTTTTGTGTCCTTCCCAATCTCGGGGCCGTTCTTTCTCCCCACCTCTGCCTCAGGCTGAGAGAGAGTCTTCTGAGCACCTCTGGCGCATAGGTCCGCTCCCAGGAAACTGCCTGGGTCATTCCCGAGGCCTGGGCTGGTGCATGATTGTCTTCTCTGCTCTGCGCTTGTCAGCGCAGACTAGTTCTCCTTTCCTTGGCATGGGACATTAAAGTGAGCTTTCCTCTCGTGAGGGGCCGTCAAAACATCCCAGACCACTGCTCATAGACATGCTGGGAGGCATGGACAGCCATGGTAGCGGTTGGTGGCCGTGACACCCCCCATCACTGCTGCACAGACCACCCAGGCCAAAGCCCAACGGGGAAATCCTGGCCTTAACAAAACAGAAGGGCTGTGTCCATACTGTCTCAGAGGTACGGGGGAGAACAGAGACCGTGCACGGGGCGTGCCACATTGCTCCATAACATCTCAGGCCACGAGGGCTTAAATGTGAGGGCCAGAGCAACCGCGCGGCGGATTGAGTGACTACCTCACACACAGCTGACCCGGGTCCCTTCCCATCTGGTCCCTGGAGCACAGCTGGGAGTGATCCCTGAGGCAGAGCCAGGAGTAAGCTCAGAGCACCGCAGGGTGAAGCCCAGTGCCTCCCACCCCCTAAAAAAAGAAAGAAAATGAGAATCAATCACAAACAGAAAAGGGAAAGAACACTTGGAAATTAACAACAAAAGGGACTTTACTGAGTCAGGAGAAGAATATTTGAGAATAATTGAATGCCAAAATATGAAAATATCAGTTTGATCGTTTTATTTGCAGCCTCTGATAAATTTTGAATAATAATTTTTTTGGCCCTTTGGGTCATACCTGGCGATGCATAGGGGTTACTCCTGGCTCTGCACTCAGGAATCACTCCTGGTGGTAATCGGGACCATATGGGATGCCGGGAATTGAACGTGGGTCGGCCGCATGCAAGGCAAACGCCCTACCTGGTGTGCTATTGCTCCAGAGAATACTTCTTATTTAAAAAAATTATAAAATCAGAATAGCCAAAATTATGATTGCATCTAGTTATTGAAGTTAAAAAGGTAAAGGTAAAGGCCCTCCCGTTGATCGTCGATTTGCTCGAGCGGGCCCAGTAACGTCTCCATTGGAGACTTTGTTGTTACTGTGTCTGGCATATCGAATACTCTCGGTAGCTTGCCGGGCTCTCCGAGAGGGGCAGAGGAATCGAACTCGGGTCGGCCATATTGGCTGCTTGTAAGGCGAACACCCTACCCGCTGTGCTATCGCTCACTAAATTCTCTACATGTAATATAATATATTGAATATATATATATATAGCACTGCACTGTAGCAGTGTCCTCCCATTGTTCATTGATTTGCTCGAGCAGGCACCAATGACGTCTCACAACAAATTGTGAGATTTGTTATTACTGTTTTTGGCATATGGAATACGCCACGGGGAGCTTGCCAGGCTCTGCCCTGCGGGCGGGATACTCTCAGTAGCTTGCCGGGCTCTTCGAGAGGGGCAGAGGAATCGAACCTGGGTCGGCTGCATACAAGGCAAACGCCCTACCCGCTGTGCTATCGCTCCAGCCCAATTGAATATATACAGCATACATATATATAAACAAATATTCTTAAATAGCAGGCTAATTCAAATCAAGTGAGCTTTCGCCAAGACAGCTTTGAACCTGTTAAGTTTGCTTCTTGTCACTAAATGCACGTTTATTTAAGCTGTGACCCTGTCCTTCCGTCCCCGCGTAGTATGAACTCTGTCTTTTCTGCTTTGTCCGCAGGGGTCCGAATCCCAGCAGAGTGCTCCAGCAGTTGCTGGTGCTCCAGCCGGAGCAGCAGTTAAACATCTACAAAACCCTGAAGACGCACCTCATCGAGAAAGGAATCCTGCAGCCCGCCTTGAAGGTGTAGCTGTACCCCGGGAGGGGAAGGACCAACAATAATGAATTCTACGGAAAAGCACTGAGATTTTATAATTGTACAGGAAAAAAAAAGGGTTGAAAATGCAATAGATTGAAGTTTTACAGACACGAATGTTTCTTCTCTGAAATTACTGTGAATCTTTAACAAACGCTTACTTGATCTAAGTTATGAAATAAGTCGCAGACGGCCGGCAGAATATCCTGTCCTTTTTCTAAAGTGTGTTTTCTGGCGTGGACTTCCTTCCCCTTCCACGCTGGCTTTCGTAACTTTGCAAGACTCGTGTTTCAGGAGTCAAACACGATCGAATGAGTGAAACGAGGATGTCTTAAGATTGCACCCGGCAGTGTGTCCTTTGCACAAATATTTACTTTTGCACTTGGAGCTGCTCTGAATTGTAGCAAAATATTTTATGTAAGGCACAATAGGAAGTGAGTGCTCTCCCGTACTTCCTCTTCTTTCCGTCTGAAGTACTTGCTGAAGGACTGAGTTGGATTTGAAAAAGAAAAGATTTGTCTACTTTAAAAAAAAAAAAGCAGTCATTTGCCAGGAGAAAAATTTCCACCTTCTGGTTGGTTCAAAATTCAGGCAAGAGGGGCAAAGAGCAGAAACAAACTTATTTAGATGATTTGGAGAAAGTCCGACTTTGCAGAAACACTTTTCAAGAGAGTTCTGCTATGCAAGAATACAGTGTATTTGGGGTTTAGGGTTTGTTTTGGTTTTGGGGGCCACACCCAGCCATGCTCAGGGGTTCCTCCTGGCTCTGCACTGAGAAATTACTCCTGGCGGGGCTCAGGTGACCATATGTGGCACCGGCACCGGGACGGAGCCTGGGTCGGCCGCGTGCAAGGCCAGCGCCCTCCCTCCCTGCTGTCCTATCTCTCCAGCCCCCTCCCAACCCCACTGAAACTCTCAAGTAGCTCAGGACACGGCCTCAAGCAGAGGCACAGGGCTCAGGCCTTGACTCAGGCACATCTCTGGGTTTTGAGATTCCCCGTGAACTTCTTTCCCTGAGTTCTGGAGCCTCAAGCATGTTGGATAGACAGAGGAGTGAGCTGGGGGGTGGCCGGAGCAGAGCTGGGGAGACCTTGGCCAGGAGAGAGTGGACGCTTCCTCCTGGCACATGTGTAACCCAGCGGGCACTGCCTGGAAGAAGGAAGAACTGTGTGGATGCTGGACCCCAGACTCAGCTGGGGGTAGTGATGGGTCTTTGTCCTGGAAATATCACATCATGTCACGGAATCTGAGGCCGTCTGCTGGTTTGGGGTTTTTTGGGGTTTTTTTTTTTTTTTTTGGTTCCAAGAACGAAAATCAAGCAGAAGTCATTTCCACCAAGGACCGAAGCACACACATGCCAGCCCTTCCCTCTGGTGGAATGAACTCTGCGAGTTCCAGTAAGTGCCAGTAAGGGGTGCCCAGTGTGATCAGGGGTGAGCCTCCGTGCCGTCTGCACCCGAAAGCCAGAGTCAGCACCGCCCCTTCCACAGCTCCTGCCATGCCCGGCTCACTGTCTAGAGACAGAAGCAGATCTCTATTATTATTATTATTATTATTTTTGCTTTTGGGGTCACACCCAGCAATGCACAGGGGGTTATTCCTGGCTCTGCACTCAGGAATTACCCCTGGCGGTGCTCAGGGGACCATTTGGGATGCTGGGAATTGAACCCGGGTCGGCCGCGTGCAAGGCAAACGCCTTACCTGCTGTGCTACCGCTCCAGCCCCAGAAGCAGAGCTCTTTTAAAGAAGGTTTTGTCAAGGAATGTCCAGTGTCAGTGAGAAGCAGGTCCCAGGGCTCTACTGCATCTGTTCTTGAGTGGTACAAGCGGTGCCAGGTGAGAGCCGGGCTCAGGGAAGGCTTCAGCGCAGACTCCAAAGTTCAATGTCTCGAACCGGAAAACACCCACATCTCCTCAGGACCCCCGGCCACGTCCTGTCCGCGTTATCGCACTCGAGTCTGTGAAAACCTCCATGTGGCCCTGGAAAAGTTACTGTCGGAGGAAGCCGCCACTTGGAACCTGGGGCTGTTCATTTCCAACATTACCCATTGAGGTTTGCCTCCTTCAGAGCTCCAAGTGTTGGCTGTGAAAACGCTTAGCACGCCAAAGTTGGAAAAGCGAAATTCAAGTTTTGTGATTGGAACTTAGCTGAGCGCTGAAGTGGTCCGCACAGGAACTCCTGGGCTGTGACGACCCCCTCCACGCGTTTTATTCTCTCTGAAGTAACGGATGCGGCATGGCAGTCCCAGATTTAAAAAGAGCACTCCTCAGTACAGCTATTCTGCAATCACTTATTATAATAAAAATTTGAAGCTAGAATAATTTATGGGGCGGGGGGAGGGCGGTCACAGCAATAGTTTTCCTCAGACTTTTAGATAAAGTTGGGTGGACATGAATCTGTCTGTAAAACTCCAAATTCTTCATTTTAACAGAACTCAAGATGGACCTTTTTAGTGTACTTTTATAGCACATAATATTAAAATAGAGTCTATTTTAGCAAAAGATTGCATAACAACATAACTTTGATCTTTTTTTTTTTTATATTTGCAATGAGGACTTCAGCTTTTGCCCGGGGGGGCAGAGACATGAAAGACTTGGAGCTTCTTTCACAGTGAAGGCTCGGAAGGTTCCAGACCTGCTGTTTGTGCGGGGGCTCTAGCATCACTCAGAGCTGGAGTGAGGGTGCGGGTGTGTGCTCACGCTCGTTTGCAGTTAACCGTCTGAGAAGATCCCCCTCCCTCTCCCCATATCACCCCACACTTCTGTGTTTTCTTTTGTACCTTGGTTTGGACCGAGGTGGTTGTCACCTTGTTCAATGAAAGTAAGTAGAGACCGTGTATATATTCTGTTATGTGGGCGCCAGATCGCGACTGACCTGTGTCAGTCAACTCTCTGAATCTTCCACCGAAACTGAGACGGGGGAAATAAAAATGGAAAGATATCACCTCTTGACTGTTGTGCCATTTTTCTCACTCGAGAAGAAGTGATCACTCGGCGAGTGTTTGCAGAAGGATGGCGGGCCTGTGTTTGTACACGCGTGTGTATGTGTGTGCGTGCTGGCATTGCCAGCACCTACACTGATACCTTCGGGGCTGTGATAAATCAGTTCTGATAGGGGCTTGGAGTGATAGGGCATTTGCCTTGCATGTGGCCTACCTGGGTTCGATTCCCAGCACCCAGTCTTGTTCCCTGAGCCTGCCAGGAGTGATCCCTGAGCACCGCCAAGTGTGACCCAAAGGCACATAAATTAGTTCTGGTAATGACTTGTCAAGAAGAGAGTCCCCTGGTCCTTCTCTCGGAAGAGAGCATAGAACAACTCTCCATCGCCAGGCCGCCAACCCCATGCCAGGCTGTTTTATTTGGGGCACCCCAGAGGGGGTCAGATGAGACCCCTCCCTGCTCCAAGGGACCCAGCCCCGGCAGCCCAAAACCTCCAGAACCCAACTGCCACCACGCTCACAGCCACTCTCCACACGCTCGGGCCAAGCCTCACCCATGAGTGAATCCGCAGAAAGCCCAGGTGTGCGGGACTTGGTGACTGAAAACTCTGGGTTCAATGGAACTGGGAATGGGTGAGCTCCCCCTATTATCACCCCACATTTTCGGCAGCTCAGTCACACTGCAAGCCGGTGCCAGACAGTCTCATCTATGACCACGATCCAGAGACTCATTGTCCACTTGGAAGAGAGCATAATACGACGACAACTGCATAGCCAGGCTGCCGGACCCTGCACCAGGCTGTTTCATTCGGGGCACCCCGGACGGGGGTGGGTGACGCCCCTCCCTGCCCCAAGGGACCCAGCCCCAGAAGCCGAAAACCTCCAGAACTCAACCGTCACCATGATCATGGTCGCTGTCCACGCGCTCAGGCTGAGCCTCACTGACAAGTAAACCTATTCCTGGCCATCTCATACCTCACACCACTCATGCTCCAAGAGTAGCCCACCACATTTGATGGGGTTTAAAGTAGGAGACAGCCAATCTTAGAGGAAAATATATTTTTATGTATATGTATACACACACATATAGAAGCACACAAGGCTCAACCTTTAATATATTAATGATCTCTTATAGAAGGGCTTAATGACCTCTGGGTGAAATACAACAGTCTTCACACTCCTCTAAGGAAAAAATTTTGGAGCATTTTCAGCGGTTTACTTAAACAAAATTACTTCAGTTCTGCTTTGGGACAGGGATTGGGGTTTGGGATGGAAACATCTGAAACATGGTGGTGAGAAGGTATAATGGTGGTGGGATTGGTGTTCAAATGTTAAATGTATTACTTTATAAAAATATAAAATTAAAAAAAAAAGTCCCCACTCCCCCCTGCTTTTTCTGATTTGGTTCCACACTGGGCCATACTCAGGGCTTCCTCCTGGCTCTGTGCTCAGGGATCACTTCTGGAGGGGCTCAGGGGACCATATGGGGTGCTGGGAATCAAGTCCGATCAGCAACATGCCAGGCCAGCGCCTTGCCCTCATGCCTCTCCATGCCCGCTTGTTGATTGCTTTTTGATTGCCTTCGGTGCCTGACGCCTCACTCCGGGCCTGCGTCCCAGGGCTTTAAGCTTCCAAGCCGATGACTGGCTGGGGCATGAAGGTTGTGGGCGCACACGATCCCACTCGTCTTTCTTGCACAGACAGGTTTCCCTGGGCAAGGCTCAATCCTTAAGTCCTGGTTTCTAAGGTTCTAGAGACCTCGACAGCCCCTGCGGCCATGCATAGTTAAGACATTGAAAACCAGGAGCGAAGTCACACGAGAACTCTTAGGTTGCACAGATGGGTCACCACTGGGTGACACGGTACAAGATGGAGGCTGATAATGGTGACAGCCAATGCGCAGAGCAAGGGGGATGTGTGTGCCCTGGCACTGCCTGGCAGAGGTGCTGGCCTCCTCTCTTCGCTTGCTCCATGCCTGACGGCCAGGAAGGCATCATCTCCGAGTCACAGTTATGTGTTGGCTCCAAATACAAAGCAAGCTCTGGGGGCCGAAGCGACAGCACAGCAGGGAGGGTGTTTGCTTTGCACGTGGCTGACCCAAGTTTGAGTCCCGGCATCCCATATGGTCCCCCGAGCACCGCCAGGAGTAATTCCTGAGTGTAGAGCCAGGCGTAACCCCTGAGCATTGCCAGGTGTGACCCAAAAAGAAAGAAAAAAAAAAATACAAGTTCTGTGCAATGGAACTCAAACCAGAAACCTCTGCTCCTTCTATTCCCATTTCATCCTTTCCCTGGACAGAGGGGAGAAGGTGTTTTAATTTCCACAGGGCATCACGTCATTCTGTTTACTGCATATGGGGTAGGGGCAGAGTTTTGAGGATGGTAAAGTGAGTTTCCCAGAGAAGCCCGGGGCCTTGGCTGATGGGAACAAGCAGTCTGAGGACATGGCTGGCAAGATCAGAGCCTCACTCCCGAGCTGAATCCCCGAGACCTGCTGGCAGGGGGACGTGAATTTGGGAGTTAAGCTCTCCCAGACCTCCCACTGTTATCCAACCTGAGAGGACTGCATGCAGCC